ACTTCTTTCTATGCAGAGTGTTACCTTTTTGTTGGAGGATTTCAATTTTTTGTTGTTTTTTTCCAGTGATTTCTAATCCATGAAAAAATACCAACCTTAGATCCATACCCTGCAAGGTGCTCCAAGTGTTTAATTTTATGATCTGTAATGACAAGTTACTTTGCTTTTCAGGGTATGTTTGTCCTATAACCAAATACTGGCCTCCTGAGTTGAAAAAAAAAAAAAAAACAGAAAAAGCATGATTTTTCTGGTTTATACTGGATTCTTAGTAGCATGAAAGCCTGCAGAAACTCCTGCTTTCACCTGCCATTGCCAGTATTTTGTTGTGGTTGGTTTTTTCTTTTCTTTCTTTTTTTTCTTCTCTCTTGAGGACCTGGGATTGCAGAAGCCTATCTAAAGTGATTTCAGCTTCTATTTAATGCACAGTAACGTTCTGGTTTCTAGTATAACTGCAAAGGCAGATTTAAAAGGCTGAAATTAGCTGAAATTACTATGTTCTAAGGACTTGGAAAACAAATTATAAGATTTCAAATTCATTATTAACAGAATAAAAATAAATTCTATGATTTTCAAACCAGTTTCACAGTTTTTGTAAGTTAACAATTGGAAGCATGATGTTGCTATCATCTGTGGTTTCCTGACAGTTTTTTTTTTTCTGGTTCGTTGAAGTGATTTCTCTCACTGTAAATTGTAAGAACTGACCTGCTTAGTATAGGGCTAATGAAGCTGTGGTATTAGTGTTTATTTTAGTTTGACATTTTCCCAACAATTTCTAGATTCCTGCAGTTTTATATTCTTTTGTTCCTCACATTTGGTTGGATTTGGTTGTGTTTGAAGACTAAGGGCATTTTGTTTTGAAGGCCTCCCAAGGGAACATAGCTTCCTTCGTAGCTTCCTCTGCTTTCATCCTGTTGAACTCCCAGAGACAGCTTGCTTTTAAGCTAATTCGAACGAGTGAAGTAGAGCAGTAGTGTTATATGAAGATACAGCTACAGCTTTATGCGTATTGCTAACAGTGTACTGTTTCTAGTGGTAGCTGCTTTATCTGGTGAAGTGTTGTGCAGTATTATTGCATGATGTCAGTTAACATACTGTGAGACTGTTAATACAAGTGAATTTTTAACATGCTTGCCTTTTTTTTTTCTTTTTATGAACCCTACATAAACTCCTGTTCCCAAGTAGGAAGAAAGAAGACAAGTGCTGGAAAGAAATGTTGTTTAAGTCAAGTTAGGGTTGCTGTTAGTAATGGTGCCTCCCACTTTCCCTCCAGGTTGTTTGCATCCGTTCTACATGGAATGCTCTGTCACCAAAGCTGAGTTGTGATACAAGACCCCTCATTTTAAAAGCGCTGAATGAATTGTTTGCCCTGGTTCCCTCATTAACAGTGAATACAAATGAATATGAGGTATGTACTCATGGACTAAGGTGAGTCTTTTCTTTTAGTGTATCTTTGTATATAAGTTTTAAATGTGCATGCTTGTTTTTAATATCTCTAAATTGCACCCACTGCCTAATTCAGTTAATCATAATGCCCATTTCGATACAGTTTCACGATTTTAGCTTGCATGAGTGAATCTTGGGAGATAGGTGAGAAATTCCAGTACAAGGTTGATCAGAGGTTTCCCTCTCTCAGAATGTGAAGACATGTGAATGCATCTACAGTTCAAACCTGAGCCCCTTCCACTTTCCTAGCTCAGCGCATGTTGATGTGGCAGCAGTTTGTTTCAGGTAACTGCCTCTATTTCAACTGCTTATTTGGTTAAAGAAAATCTGAATGCCTGTTTTGTTTGCTTTTATAGAAATTCAAAGCTCAAGTTATCAGCTTCCTTTGGAACAACACACAAAACAAGGTAGGTGATACAACTGAAAATGTTAATTCGTGGTGTCAGCAACTGGATATTGTTTTATATCCTTCTGTCAAGACAAGGTTATTAGTGTCAGCAATCGCATTTACTAATAGGGTTTTCTTTTTGTCACTGGCAGTTTAACACTGTTTTTGAAGCAATGTAATGCATGTGAGAGGTGGTAACTGATGGTCCTAACACTCCCAAGGAGAATTGTAACACAAACTAGTTTGACTTCTCTGGCAGACTTCAGCCTTGACTTGGTGAAGCATTCTTGGCAAAGCTGCAGCTGTGACAACTACCTCAGTTCTTTGGTGGGGTATTTTAAGGCAGTGGGAATGTTGGACCATCATCACCATGGGGCTGGTGGAACCAAAGTATTTTACTTTAAATACTTCTTGGATATTTCTACATAAACTATCCTCACAGTGGTAATGGAGTGCAACAATCAGAATATTTGCTATCAAGCCTAGATAATTGGTCTTGCTAGTTTGCATTCTATATGTAAAGTAAGCAATTGAGAGTGCGCCTCAGGAAAACATTGTTATTTTAAAGTCTTTTTCAGCATTCAGTGGTTAGTGGATAGGCTCTTTGTATGTGGAGTTTCCAGTATGTAGCAATACCATATGCTGTGCTTGTGATTTTTCTTTTTCTTCCTGTTTATTTTCTAGGATGCTGTTGTAGCCATTTCGGCCTATAAGTCACTGTCGTCATTTGGCTCTGAAGAACATACAATTCTTCATCTTCCTGAACAGGTAGCAATGTTGTATGTTTAATAGTAAGGACATCTGACACTTCCATCTGACATGGGTTGTATCCTCTTGGAAGGGAAACAAGGCCTTGTGCCATCTCTACCAGATAACCATCAGAGCGTCATAGAAGGAATATGAGCTCCTGCTGGTGAAATGGGATGATATTATGTATGATTACCATAACTAAGACTTATGAGAGGGGAAAGGCACAAATGGAGGCTGAGTGAGGTCTAAGCAGTCAGAAGGTAGTTTTTCTTTCATTAGTTGAATCAGAAGGTTATTTTTTGGGCACCGGATTTGCATTTTATGCTCTTCTGTTAGTGCTTGCAGTTGAGTCTTGACACTAAGCAGCTCTTGTGATTACTGCTTCATCCATTGCAGTCACACTCATGCTCAGTGCTTTCCTTCCTGAAATGGGCAAGTCAGTTTGAAAAGTAGGTGCTGTTTTTGGAATCAAGCTGAAAACTTTTCCTGTGTTTCTGTTCTGAACACTTAACAGCATAACACTTGGGGTTTTTGTTGATAAAAGCAGCTAGAAAGGAATCGAGGTACTTACTGGAAAGCTTTTTAAGGATATAGAGGGCTGTTAAACTCTTAAACTTCAGTCTGATCAGTTGACTCAATAACCTTACAAAATGGAAGAGTGCAAGGAGATTAACATATAAGGTTATCTATGACATTTACAAGGTTATTGTTAAAAAAAAAACAAACCCAAACAAAAAAACAACAAAAAACACAAGAGACTAGGCAATAATCAGCAGTCTGTTGGTACTTTATGGTGTAGTAAATACTTCTGTAAGCTTTTATTTACTGCATTATTACAAGATTGGCTCCATTTGCATGTTGTAACTGGCTATTACAAAAAGGTCTGAATAAGCAACTTTAAAATTAAAAGAAGCATACTTGCTTTATATAAATAGATGAGAAGAGTTCAGCATAAACCTTACAAATGAAAAATGTGTTTTGCATAGAAGAGCACAAGATAGAATGAGGGAAATCTCTAAACACTGCTGCAATATTAAATCTTTCACGGTAGTACGTAGTGCTGTATTATTGGTGCTGTTACTTTACACTCGTTAGAAAATGAGTAAATAAGTTTTCATTGAAAGCATTGTAAATATGTTGCAGTTTTTCAAATTTTGAAAACTAGTATGGAAAAATAACATCTAGCAGCTGCTCTTTATATTAAAGTGCCAATATAAAACATTGTTTTATTTTAATTGAAGAAGAATCAGAGTGAAAATGAAGTTTTAGTAATATTAGTTCAGTCTATAAGTGTCAAGATTAATTTTACTACTACAGATATGGATTTACATACTCATGTGATTTTTATCAACCAGTTTTGCCTTTCAGGTAGAAGAAAAGCTTTTATTCTTTCAGCTTTGAATTAATGAAATGGAATGAAATTAATGAAATGGGTAACTTTTCATATTTAGTTGGTATTTTTGACACTTGGTTGACACTTGGAATCATGAGAGGTAATGAGGATTCAGAATTCTTGTGCTGACATTTCCTTTTTTTTAATCTTTCAGGCACGACCAGAAGTTGACTCACTGGAGGAGGCAGACATGAATGAAGATGAAGAAGAGGAGAAGGAGATGGATCTTTTTGTTCCTGGTTCTTCATATATCAAGCTGTTGTCTCTAACACCAGCTTCTGTTTTAGGAGGTATAATTTATTCAGTATTTGAGGTTACTTTGCAGATTTATAATCACAGTGACTGTACAGACATGTGGCTTTCTTATAATGGAGTGTCATGTTAAAGTGCAGCCTTCTCCACCCCCCCACCCCCCGGGAAAATATCTTACCAAATTACAGGAAAAAACGTAAAGTAAAAGTTTGGAGGAAAACAAAACCCCCAACCCATTTTTAGGAAGACAGCGGGTCAGAGGTCCTGATGGTGGAAAGAATGCTTATAACATAACTTAAAAATCCTTATCTGTCCTACAGGAAAAGCTGGTTGCTTATTATTTACTTCAAGTGCCCATTGTTTCATCACAGTACCACTTCAATAGGGAGGACTGAGCAGACATTTTTAAAGGCAGCTCTGTATTTTAGCCCAGCACAGTCTGAAGAAAAACCCACACCCAAAACCATAGTGTTTTATAAACAGAGTATTAATAGTATTAAAACAATGCTGTATACAAAATCTGCTTAATCAGTAAATATATTAGTGCTATGCTTCATGCTTAATTTTAGTGATGCATATTGATACTGAAGTATGCTTCAACAGGTGGTCTCTGGTTGATGCACTTGTTTTGACACCTATGCAGTTGAATCACCTTTAGTATTTGGGATTTTTAATGTTCACTTGATTACTCTCATTAATGCTATCTTTCACTTCCAGTTACAAGATTGTGACATTCGTGCTTGGACACAGGCATTGTTATTTCACTGTTTGTAGAATGCCTGGGATCTTGATGTGTGATTGCAACCTGTAAACGTTGTCACGAGATAGTAGTAGTATTTTGTAGTATTTTCCCCCAGTGGGGGCTCCTAGAAAGTATTGTTAAATACTCCATTCATTGGAGTCTGGAGTATGCGCAACCTCACCTAGAGAGTCTATATGCGCTAACTAGTAAGTTCTAGAAGCTTTGTGGGGAAGACTGACATAACCTGCTTCAACGGAAGAGAGTGATGCATCTGGGCAGAAAATTCAAGCTGTGTAACGAATGCTGAGATAGGCAACTTACCAGGAAGATGGGAAACCAAAATGGACTTTAGAGAACAGACTGTGGTAGCTGCATCTTTTTTTTCAGACTGGTTTAAAAACATATATGCAAATAGCTTTTTCCAACCCAAACATTCACTGAATAGATTCTCCCTCAGAGGAGTCATTGTCTTCTCATACTGTTAGTTAACGCAGAATACAGAACAGTTGAGCAAAAGCTTTAGTGACTGGCAGGGGTGGTTGTTGTGAGTTAGTTGCTCCACTGAAAGGGTATGAAACTGGCTTAATGAGACAATGTCCAAGATAGGCCAAGAGCAACAAAGCCTGTTCTATCAGAGCTGAATCTGTGCCATCTCATGTGCTGGAATCCTGCTGTTACACATTATTGAGCTTAATTCACTACTTCCTTGCTGCTTAGAAGGAGAAGGACCGAGATGCTTTTTAAGAAGGCAGTCTCTGTTTCTCAGAGTTTCGTCCAAAGTCCTTGTCAGTGCACACCAAATCCACTGAAACTTCTAAAGGAAGTTTAGCTTGCTGCTTGTGAGAGCCCCCTTCTTCTTGCTTTTCCTCGCTGATTCCTTAAACTCTGAATTGCTGCTTCTTTTTCTTTCCTCCCTCTTCTTTAATCCTTGCAGGAGGAGGAAAATCTTTAGGTTTTTTCAGCCTCCGCATGCTTCTTCCTGAAGAGTTGAATACTTAATGCTATGGCAGCTGCAGTTAAAAGGTGCCAACCAGAAGGTGGGCTTGGTGGTGACATTACTATTGAATTGTGGGTTTTTTTTCCAAGTGCCTTCTCCAGCTCTGTGGGAGGAAAATGTCTAAGCTTGCAAACAAATCTATAGGGCCTATTTCTGCAACAGAGCTGAGGAAGACTAGGAAACAAAGTAAAAGTAGGCTTTCTATGGCAGTTGGCTGGAACATGCTGCAATTCCAATTTACCATAGCTGTCTGCTTATGTGAAGCATTGGAAAGTGAATTTTTACGTAGTATTTTCTCTTAACCTCCTTTAGAACTGATTTGCCATTTCAGTTTCCATATTGTGTCAAACAGTTAGAGTCCAGAGGGTATCAGAAGTGGCATGACAGCCTTATTTTTTTTTAATAGTTCTCATTCTGGAAGTCTGAAACTTGTCTGAAACTTGGTAGTCAGAGAATTAAAAATAATCCCGTATAACAAATTATAAACTTCAGACCAACAGCATTAGTATTATTATTATTAGGTATATCTCTGTAGGAAAGGTGCTAAGAATTTTGTTCCTGTGATGTTAGTTACCTCTTTTTTTCCTTCAGACTGATTCCAAGCATTAAAATATGATATTTTAACATTTGCTGCACATCTAGTTGTTTCATTAAATTTATCCAGATTTTCTAGTTTGAGTTTTGTCTGGCAGCCTAGATCCTTGAGTTGTATCTCTTGCCTGAAGAATTGCTTTTGAATGGCTTGTAAGTATTAAGTCCTTAGGCATAACTAGCAAGTGCAGTAATGTGACAGCAGTGATACTACTTGTGCTAGAGTGTCTCTGTCAATGTGGATGGTTACCAGCAGAGAAAGAGCTGTCCTCTTTCAGATAATTTCTTCTCTATTGCTGTAGCCACCCTAAACAAAAAAGCTCTTATCAAAGTCTGGGGCAGGTAGGTGGATAGTATTTTCATGTCAATAAATTTAGTTTTGTTGAAAGAGTATATAGTGTTGAGGATTGGGGACAAAGATTTATAGTTTCTGTCTGAAGCACTGTATTGAAAATTGCTAACTTCATTCTGAGGTTTTTGTTTGAAGAATATTGGCATTACAGGTGGAGAAAAAAAATCCCCACATGTAGCTGCCCTTCCGGCCATGCTCCAAAAACCCATCAGATTTAGACCGCTACTCCACTGTGAAGTTGAATTGGGAAATAGCATTGCTGAAAATCACAGGAACTTGCTGAAAATAGGAAATGTGAGGAAAGTTCCAGTATAAAACTATTTTATTCCAAGATGCCATAGGTATTTCTTGAACCCGGAAAGGATGAGTGAGTGCCCTTTTGTCTCCTTTGTCCTCTAGTTCCTAGTCAAAGCAGGGCTGCATGGGATTTGGGAACTTGAATGCCAAAGTTTCAAGCCTAGTGTGAAAAAATTGTTATAAATTCCCTTAACACTCAGTTGTATAACGGAAGCACTAACAGACTTTTCAACATACTGGGTTTGCAAGGTGCTGGTACAACGTTGGCTCTCAGTTGTGATGTGGTAACAAACACTGTGCAGTCATATATATGTACATACATGGTACTTACAGGAACACGACCCTTTTTTCTAATGTGTGCCTGTAAAGGCTGCTTCAGATTGACTTCACAAATGAATAATAACTGGTTAGACTCTAAAATGCATAGCTTGAGAGCATGGAACAATAAACAATTTGTACTGCTATGGTTACAGAAATCAAGGTAATTCTCTCTGTATCCCCTGTTTGCATATACATGCTGTCTCTCCGTCTACCCTCTTTACATTGTGCTTCTTTTAAATCTCTTTAAAAACAACCTGGTTTTAGAGACAATATTTTTCACTATGTTGGTAAACATCGGTTTTATTTCTTATTGTCCTTCTGTCAGCGTGTGCCAGTGTTATTGGTGTAGCAGTCAAAAGAATGTAGTCAACAGCTCATGGAATAGTTAAGGCTATTTTTCTTCCCAGCCTTAGTATCTGACATGACTTACTCAGAGCCTCTTGAAGTTGCAGTGGCAGCAAGTATGGTGTCAGAGAAACTTGCTAAGAGTTCTCAGTTCTTTGACCTTGAGCTTTCATCTGAATGGTCATTACTAGTTTATCTAAGCATATCTCCCCTGAAGCTCAGGTGTCATTTTGGGTTTCTCAGGGTTTGTTTGGTCTCTCAGTCATCAGGCTCTGACATTCCCTTTCCTCTCTCCTCATTTTCTTGCACTTCATCCAGCATTTGAAGAGTTTGCAGCATCTCTTGTGAAACAGGAAATGACCAACATGCCCCGTGGTGTGTATCATTCTGCCTTGAGAGGAGGGACCACACGCTCAGACCAGGGGAAGACCGTGGCAGGTGTTCCAAACTTCTTGCTGAAAATGTATGAGAGGAACAAACAACCAGGCATGACACCAGGCCTTGCAGGTAAGCTGTTGCTTTCTTGAAGTTAGACAAGTATACATGCTTTGACCCAAAGATTTCTATGAATCTGAGTGTGAATCACTTTAAGAAACAGTCATGTCTTATGCCACTTGCATATGCTTACATATACTGTTAAATTGTTGGCTTTATTAAGTTAACTTTGCTTTGGGTTCTCCACTGACTTATGCAAGACTTCTGAACTATTAGCATGAGTATTGGTATTGACCTTTCTTTTCCCCTTCCCTCCCTCTTTAAGCTGGCATGTTGTTATGTTACGACCTTCCAGTCCATATGGGCAAGGATGGTAAGCCTATTAATCGGTTTCTGGCCAGCAGGGGACGCAATTTCCAGCAAATGTTGGTAGCCCTCATTCATGAGGTAAGTTGCTGGCTTTTCTTCCGTTTTCAGAAGTAGTATGCTTCCTTCCCTGCCTTACTACCTCATTTCTTTATGCTAATTAAGAATTAGTATCAGCTAGCAATGACATGTATTAGTATCATAATTAACTAAAGTTGCTGTGAGGGACAATAACTTGAACTGAACATGTAAATACTTTTTAAGTGTTCGATCCTCAAATATCTCTTGTGAAAATCAGTAGAACAAACAGAAGCTGACCTTTGCCTTCATCTGCCTTGCAGACTACTATACCTGCCCTACATCTGCCGTGTGTAACTAGTTGTAGGTGAATAGCAGGTCTGAACAATGATGGGACTCTGTTGGGAAATGACATCTACACCTTGCTAAGACTTACTTTTTTATTCTGTCTCTTGAATGTTTCAGCTCCCTGATCTGTTAGGCTTACGCCACTGAAACCATGCAGTTACCTTTGGTGTGGTTTTGGAAAAAAGGCATGAAATAACCCCCCACTTAATCATTACAGAGAATGAAGTGCTTGTAAAAAAATCTTTCAGAGAGTTTAGAACTACGCCACTTTTATGGTTGATAGGAAAGTTGATCTTTAAAAATTTTGGAGAGCAGTAAAACAAAGTAGTTAAACTGGATCTAGGGAAGTAAGTGTTTCTTTCCCAATTTTATGCCAATGAGAGCAGTTACTAACACAAGTGGAAGTGTATTAATGTCTTTAAATGTTCATAAAATAATTCTGTTAATACAATCATTTTGTATTGCTGCAGAGGTTAATGACATGCATCTGAGGGTGAAGTTTCTGCTCACAGGCCATGAATAAGAATGTATGAATTATATCAGTCTGATATGAGCAAGAGAGCATAGATGACGATTAAAAAAAAACTTCTATAAAATTTAGATTGAGTCTTAGGCAGTATGTCCAGAAATGAAAGCAATGTATGAATGTCTGGATATTATAAAGATATTTTTTTTCTTTCCCACCCCACAGCAATACCAGTTCCTGTTCTAATTTTCCAGGATAGAAAAGCTTAAATGGTCTCATTACTCCTCCTTTCTCTGTCACATGTACAGGCAATTCAGTGCTATTAAAGATAATTTGATTATATGCTGTTTTGTACAGAGGAGCCTTTTCTTCAGAGCACAGGATGGATCCTGCGTTGACAGGGAACCAGAACTGTGTAATAAAAGGAAATGTTCTATCTAACACTCATACTGTACTTGTTGCAGAAGTTGGAAGAGGTAGAATGAATGAGATATGGGTTGCAGGTGGGAGCATGTCTGGGTCCTGATTTTGGTTTGTGACTGACATCCAACAGACCTGGAGCCTACCTACTCCAAAATTCCTTTGTGATGCTAATAAAATCACTGACATGAAACACCTTCTGTTATGAAATAAATATAGCACAGGTTTTGAGTGGGAAGGTTGTGTGCACAGGGTTTGGAGAGTTTTCTGTTTACAAACTGAAAGCTTGACACAGAACACAGGTGTCTGCAGTGGAAAATGCATGGGGGCTACATGCTGATCCTGTGATGCAACCACATGGCTCCCTCCTGGCTTTGCTCTCAGGTCCTGCTCCCTGCTTGTTCCCACTGCATTTGTACTGGTTCACTCCCGTGGTCTCTTTGGAGCAAACAAACTAGTTCCCTCTCTGGCAAACCTGTTTGCAGCATAGTTTGCCCAAAGTTTCCAGTCAAGTGATGTGAATGTGTACCATGCTGGAATTGGCTGCTTCTACCTAGTGCAGTCTTCCAGCTCTGTACCATCTCTCAAACACTTCCACGTGTTTTATACACATAAAATTTTTACCTGTCATACAACGTCTTATCATTTTGGTCCTTCTGAACTGAAAAGCCACAAAAAGTAATAATTGTCTTGTGGCCACAGAGATACCACATGGTGTCCAGAAGTTAGGCCAAGTAGTACAAGGATGAAGGCCAGTCTGCACCAGTTGGACTGGGGTATTGAAATCCCTCCCTGGTGCTGTGTTATGAAGGCAGTGTCAACAGGGTTATGAAGTACTTCAGATGGCAAGTTCTTCTCTCAAACTAGTAAAAATAAAAAACAAAACCCACCCTTAAACACAGATCTCAAGATATCTAATCATGTATGCAAATTTAATAGATATTTTCCATCTTGACACATTTACTGTTAAAGAATGAAAGCAGAAACTGAAGATAATACCCCTCATCATCACAGGAGTGTGCAAGTAAATTAATGAATGTGTTCTAACTACTTGGATGCTCCAGTGGAGAGCACCAGGGGAAGTCCACAAGGATATTGCAAACTACGTCAGAGGAGCAGATTTAGAGTAACGAGTTATAAATGAGGTGTGGGTTTGCATAGCATCCAGAAAGAAAAGCTCTGCCTTCTATGTGGTTGCTTCATTCCGTGGGACCTGGGTTCAGTGCCAGAGGTTCTGGACAAAAACATATTTAAATATATTATAATAAAAGACATGTATTAAAGTGTTATATAAGCCAAATTACAGTGGGATAAAGACCAGTTCTAAACTGCTATGTTGTAAACACTCACCTGTTACCCTACTGAAGCACCAAATACCATCTCTGGTAAAAAAATTAAATTATTTATTTGTGTGTACTAGTTCATTATAACATCCAGCAGCACATCAAAAATTGACTTTTCTTGTGCTAACAAGCTACCTTCATAGAAACAGAACCTTAAAATGGTTTGCTTGACAAAGTGTGTTTTGGTGTTTTGTTTTGTTTTTTTAATTGAATGTGGTGAACTGGATGGAGTTAGTGAATACATACCAATGACTGGAGACAGAAATATTTTATTAAGTATCTCAGTATTTTACAAAGTCAATTAATTCAAGGTGGAGTAAAACTGAAAAGAAATCCAAGTATGTTTGAAATATAAACCTAAACACAAAACATCTGCAGACAATTCTAACTGCACCCTTTTAGTGAAAATTCACAATAACTATAAAATTTTGATCAAAATATATCAGTATTTCTGTTCTCAGCTTACACTGCTTTAAAAGACAAAAAAGCTTTTTCTTGCCTTTTTCTCCTTTGTACGTAGAGACAGTTGGAGTTAGGGTTGTCAGGAAAAAGGTATTTGGGCCTTTGGCTGGAAGAAAAGTGAGTCCCTGGGCTCATCGGACTGAATGTCCCTGGGCTCATCGGTTTAGTCCTCAGTGCTCTTCTGGAGAGCCAAGTTTAACAGTAAAAACAGGGAGCTTAAGCTATAAAGGTATCAAATAGCGGTATTGGTCTAAGAAAATTGAGTTAGTAGGACCTAGGCTCATCTCTTCCCTACAAGTGGCTCTAGGAATTAACGTGTTTTTGCAGTCATTGCTTCAGAGTTCAACACAGCACATTAAGCTGGTTTTTTAGGGGGTTTAAATACCAGAATGACACTTCTTTACTACTGCTTTGATTCCTTTTTTATTTTTGGTTTTTATTTAACTCTTATAGTGACTTTTTAAGTAAAGTAAGAAGCGTTTCATTAAAAAGAAGACTTAAAGTTGCCTTTGAAGCATTGCAGTCAGCATAAAGCTCTGAGAAAACTGTGAGGTGGATGTAAACACCAAGACATTACAATTAATTGAGAGATAGCAAGCGTCCATTTATTTTGTCTCTAACAATCCCCAGCATCTGTAACTTCCTTAGTTAGGAATTAGCAGTCATCAATATAATTGCCATACTGGGATAATAACATTTTTATCTCTTCAGTGATTTGATCTATGCTCACATCTGCAGAATGTGAACCTACAGGTTGCATATCTGTCTGTAAATGCATATGCTTATTTGCCATTATTACACTTAGTTTTTTGAAAACTGGGGCATGGCGTGGGTCTTGAGGCAACCAGTTTCATTTTTGTGAGATTCTTTATGTGTAAAAGTGCAATGCCTGAGACTCTGCTACCACAAAAACTGAGTTACATGAGGTTTGTATGCAGAGGAAATAATTTTTTCTTATATGTTTAAAAGTCTATACAGCATTCAAATAACAAATAGCTGGGTTTAGCTGCCATTCAAATCTAACAGTAACAACAACAGTAAAAAGGTAATTTACTGTTAAACCTTAATGGGCCAGACTTATTCTACCTCCCAGGTGCTAATCTAGCTGAGGGATTGGATGCAGCTGTAATACCTGTCAGCAGGATCAGATTAAGATGCAGAAGGGGTTTTTTTTTGTTATTTGAACTGGCATCTCATGGGAGGCAGAACATATGTTCCATAAACAATGGTGCATTTGAAATGCTCTATTTCTCTTTACTGGTCACTGGTGACTTGAAAGAAGATGATCATCTTTCACCCAAAAATGGGGTTGTGCTGTTTGATTATTAAACAGAGCTTGTTAATTTCTCTTTGAGAGGACATGTAAATTACTGTAGTCACAGTGGTCAGAAGCCGCATAGACCATGGGTTTTCTTTGTTTTCTCTACAGCTGCCTGGATCACCCTGTACAAGAAGTCCCTGAGGTTTGTTACAGTCACCTGGGCTAGATTAGCTAATAATTACCTGTGACTGTTTCAGTTTTTGGAATAATTCTTCCTAGGAGTTTATAGGAATAATCTCTTACCCCTTACCACTCCCTTACCAGAGATACCACTTATCTCTGTTGTGAAAATGAATGAGGATGAATAGTCACATATGTTCACATCATGTACCTTATGTTTTGATGGTTCTGTAAACGCATGTTTTGAGTTAAAGTTATTAGGCTTTCAGCTAGCTACCCATCTTTTCTTTCTTTGGCGGAGGTGAAGGGAACAGTTCATGCTACATGCAAAAAGCACAGAGGCAGCCTGCTTTTGGCATACAGATGTAGTAAATGGTGGCTTTGACAGTCTGAACCGGTGCAGTGTTTTTAAAATAAAGGAGGATGGTCTTGCCTTTGCATGTTTCTCAATATTCAGGTGCTTTCTTTGTGTTGGAAATAGCACAGTTATTTTGCCCTAATAATTAGTAATATTTACAGGCACAATTGCAAAGTTGGGTGCCAGTGGTGAGTTGTACAGCATTAAATACTACTCTACAAATAATAATCATGTTAGGCACTCTGTATACTCACAGAAGAAGCATTCCCTGCTTCTATTTTAAGTGTGTTCATTAGATGTGCTGTGATGACATGCATCTTTGAGCACTAAATCGGAAAATTCCTTCTGTACATTTCTTTCCTGGTTTGATTTTGATGTAATCAAGAGATTCAAGGGCTTATTCAAACCTTGTACCTTAAGATGATAATTGGATTTTCTGGAACAGAATTCGCTGTAGCGTGTTCTTCTGTGCCTAGGTATTTCAATGGATGTAGTTCAGATTATGAACTACTTTGTGCTGATTTCCCTTACTGAATTTACTGAATGTATTTCCTCCAGTGATGAAACAGTATTCAGGAAGTAAGTTTGTTGACAGATTTTTGCTTTTCTCCTCCTCAGTCTAATGTGCTTTGGAGAAAGACAGACTTCCCCCCCCCCCCAGAGGAATGCTGGGGGAAGGATTTGGAAGTGTATGCATGCAAGTATGTTAAAAAGAGCCTCTAAGCAAGATTTGAGATGAAAAGAGATGCTACTTCACTATTTCATTGATATGGATATGTAATGCTAGCCTTATTTATGAAATCACTGAGACTGCATTTTATATGCCCCATATGTGAGAAGGGCATTTAAATACATGCCTAAACATTTCACTGATATATGGGTATTGTCTAAAACACATTTTCACAGCCACACATTTGTTAGAGATGAACTGAATTTAGGGACCATGTGAGTTGGCAGGGCTATCAAGGTGGAAACCTGTTGTACTTAGTAAAAGAACTTACTGGGATTCCCAGTCTCCCTGCTCTACAGCAGGTTTTAAGATGGGCCATAAGTATTAATGATATCATAGTTTCTAGGTTCTTTAAACAGTATTATCTCAATTAGATACGCAGGGAATGATAGAAACATGCTTAATTTCACTGTTCCCTAAATTTGTTTTGTGTGCCCTCTGCTGGCTATGTATCAGTGCAAAACAAATAAGTGATACACAAACATCTGTGGCAGCATAAAGGCACCAGTGCTGAAAGAAAGCTCATCCAGATCTTACCATGATGTTTGATTTTTATTGGGAGTGCACTGGAGAGGGGAAATGAACTTCTCAGTTTCAATTCTCAAATGAGATTATTTCATTTGAAATTACTTTCCAGTCTTGCAGAAGCATGCAAAACTTGTGCCATGTGTATTCGGAAGCGTTGAAGTACAGGAGTAGTATCTCCTGTGGTTTGCCAGCATTCCCTGTATTGGATTTTGGCCAGCACAATCTACACTTGTGTCTTTTCAGGGAGACATGTCCTTAAGCATCGATCAATAGGCTCAGTTTACTAGCTCCTAGCTCATGCTGCATCTTGTTGCCTCAGATGTCAGGCTGTAGCTCTTCCTTGAAAACTACTTGGCAGCCTGGTCTGGCTATGCTGCCTCCTACAAACATCCCAGGACCAGTGTGGTGGTGTTTCACAACCACTTGTCATTGGTTCAGAAGTCCCTTGAGCCTCCTTCCCTGTGCCTCCCACCCACCCAATTTCTTCTTAGACATAAATTGCGCACTCAAAAGAATCCGAACTTCACTTATTGTCAGCTTTGTCTATGCTTGCTAGTATTAGTTAACCAGCGCTTAATGTAGTTGTTGTTATCATTGTGTATCCAGTGATAGAGGAGAAGTAAGGACTGCTGGTTTCCTGTACTGAAATAGCGGGTATCAGCACTGCTTATGTGATAATCTTCAGCACTATGTCCAACCATTTCCAGTCGTAGATGAATTAATACTTGAGTGTTCTTTGTTATGTGAAGATGTTCTATTCCCTCTTGTCTTCCTTTCATTCCACATATTTGCAAAATATTTACTGCCATGAAGAAAGTTAATTAATCAAAAGCTGCTCAGCAGTTCTGCTGGTCATCAAGCACATATGCAAATTTTAGATAAGATGTGCAAGGTGCTAATAATAACGTTCCTGATTAGACCATGTTGTCTACTTGCTTTAAATGCAACAATACACCTAAAGCTTTATATTTCCTGCATGAGCAAAACACCTGAAGTGTTTTGAAGGCCTGCTTTTGCTCTGGTGCACAAGTGTGGATTACACGGTGAACTTCATAGATCACCATGAGACCAGACAAATATAAATGCACAAGTCTAAAATAGTTTCAGAGTAGAGGCAAGGGGGAAGACTGGAGTTGCTGGAGATGCCTCAGGGACCTACGGCAAACAATTCTGACTGGAGCCTTGACTGCTCATCAACTTGTTGGAAGAATTGATGAGTAGAGATGAGAGGGGTATGTGAATAACATTTTGGCTAAAAACGAAGGACTAGTGTTATTGAGTCACTTAAAGATGAGGTTTCTTTTTTTCTGCAAGGCATATTTGTATCTGTTGTGGGGTGGAGTAGGTCATCTCTTTTGGTTGACTTTAAGATTGTATTTATTTGTATAGATGTACTAGTACTTACTCAAAATTGTTTTAAGTTTACCACTGGCAGTGGGCATGAAGCTTTAGCATGGTCCTTTGTTTTTTGTTATAAAATCCATGTAAAGCAACAATATTGACTGCTTCGTGTAGATTATGAGGGGCATAAAACAGAGGAGAGGAAGCAGGAAGACTTAGGAAGATAATTAACAGACAAGGGAAGTTCAGTTGGTTATCTTGGCCAGTAGAGCACGTGATGGAGAAAGGAAGCTTTTGCATACCTTGAGGCGTGGAGTGTTTTACATGGTAGCAGTGACTAGTCTCTGTAATAAAATAAAAGAGGAGGAATAAAAAGGAAGAATAATAACCTTCTGGGATTAAGCTTGGCAAGATTAGTTACTCTAGGTGGGCTTTGCACAATTTTTGATCACAGCTCACAGGGTTTTTCCACAACTCAGGGAGCCTGGCATGTTCTTTTAATTTAGAAATAGAAAGCGTGGGCCTTAAACAGCAGATACTGAGATATATCTCATATCGCCTCAACCTGACATGTTTGCCTTTCCTTTATTAAAAACTGATTACCCTGGAAACTGCTGAGATTAAATAACTTATTTCCAGTGGAGTCCAAATGGCTGTGATGACATATTCATCTTTTTGGTAGAGGCAGACAGTAGAAATAATTGGACAGTAGCAAGAGAAATCAATTCTGTATGCCCACTGTGGAATATGATGGGATATAACAATGCATACCCATCATTTTAATTACGGAGCTTATATTGTTTGTGGGTCTGTAAACACAGCAGTTTAAAAGGAGAGGACATCTCAACTCCTATCTTACTTTAATAAAATGTTGCTGCAATTAAGACAGTCATGGAGAGAGGGAAATAGAGACTCTTCTGATTAGTTGTGGTGCACATTTTTTGTTAATATATTTTGATTTATAGATTGCATAACATGCAGATTATCGGGAGAGAGGTACATATATCATGCAGGACTCTAATGCCTGGAAAAACTTTCTTGGTGGCCTTGAATTTGTGACCCCTTCTGTTTAACTTAGCCCTGTAATTCGTTAAGCTACCAAGGGCTAGAAAATTGCTTGTTACTGAGATGGCTTGACTTCATTTTTGTTTTTTAACATGCCTTGAAAAAGTCTTTGAGTCAGTTTGCTGTGGTGCTTACTGAAGAGAACGACCTTGGGCTCCTAAGGAAAATCTGTGCACATACATCATACTGTGTAGTTGACTGTTTGAGTTATTCTTTTGTTGTGAAGTTGAGGCTGGCATACCTGTGTGACATTTGGAGGCAGGTAGGGAGAGCTGTTGCTATTTCTTTGAGGTGGTGTTGTTTTCCTCCTGTTAGTTCTATACTGGTGCTTCCTAGAAAGAAACTTTGTGATTCCTTTCTTTTTTCAACAATTCTTTTCCTTAAAGGAAGTTTAAACTGTGTACTTGAACATAGTTGTATATACCCTGGTCATGGATACTAACTCCTTTTGAATAATCTCGCCTGTATTTAGATAGTCATCTACTTGTATTTATTTTAAGTGTCTGTTTAAAGCTTTCAGAAGCACCTAAGATTTACAAAAACTGTGACAAACATAAACTGCACTAACATCTCTGTTACGTACTTATTTTTGTCTACCAGTGCTATTAAGTGTTGTGCTTATTGCCACATATAATTCCACTGTGCTCTCTGGGATCAATTATCTATTGAATTACCTGAAGCAACCAATTTTGTCTGGCCTGGGTAACGAAGTTGAAAGCAATTGGTGTGGGTAAAACCAGAAAGGAGAACAACATACATTATCATTTTAGTTTCCTACAGCCATGTGTAATGTCCTCTGGGCGTGAGCAAATGATTGCAAATCACAGGTTGGAGAACATACATTCTGCATATGTTAAGCTTAATGTAACCACTTTTACCCTTTCTGGTGTCTTGCACAGGTTAACATTCAGCCTTCCGAATGGCACCGCTCTATCCTGCTGCCACAGTCCTGGTTAGGATTTATGAGTCGAACCTACAGTGCAGTCCTGCAGGTAATCTCGAGGTACATAATATTGTGCACATTAATGCTTATTCAAGTGGTATGACTTTTATTTTACTAGCAAGAGCATCCATGCAAGTTAGAATAATTTAAAAATTAAGCTTGAGGTGTTTAATAATAAAATTTATGAAAAGGAAAAAAAAAAAGATGAGTCTTCAGTTAATTGCAGCACAATCTTTCTGTAATAACAGTATCACAAAGGAGACAGAAGCTATCTATTCATTAAATAGAACTTCTCTTAATCAGCATGTAATGCTGTCACACTGTGAGAGACTCGTCTTTTGATTTTTCCACCCTGTCTAATGATTAGGAAATATCTTAAAACCTCTCTTTCATTAGGCTAGCTGACATGATATCTAAAGCAATGTAGTGTCATTTGGTTTTTCAACAGGAAAATGATCTAAAAAACTTGTAACAAATAGCTGCCTTCTAGAAGGCTCTTGTTGTGCTAGTAGAAGGGCTTATTTGTTTGTATTTCCAGGCCACATCAGCTGTTTTCAGTGTGAGCAGCTCAGGTTGCTGAGCGAATTCTAGAAGCTTTGACCGTTCCTTGTTTTGCTGTGCAGCAAAACGTATGCTTCTCTAACATTTTCAAAACAAATTTTATCTTGGCCATCAACAAAATATCAGATTCTAAGCCAAGCCAGCCCCATTACAAAGCAGGCAGCAGCCATTCAAATTGTAATTTTAGGTCATAACTACAGAGGGGGACATTGTTGCTTGCATTTAATTACTTTCCTATTTTGCTTCTCCTCTGAAGCAAGATTTCATGACAACCTTGGCATTTACCAGACTTATTTCTGAAAGCCTCTCTGGGATTTCATGCCGTTTTACAGGGCAGTAGAGCCTATTTTTGTTGCTTCTGAAGTCCCTCACTGGAGACCTAGTATCTTTACTTACTCCTTATCCTTCTATAGTACATTTTATCTTGAGGTGGCCAAAAGAGACTACAGTATAAGATGAGTAGTCTGGGTACATAATTCAGTATTTCTGAACAGCTAGTAGAGTAATCATTTCTACAGTTTTGGAGGCAGATGTTCAGAGTTCAGTTCACCAAAACACTTGTGTGAGGATTTCTTTTTTTCCCCTTTGGGCACCTGAAAGTCCTTTTGTCTTTTATTATGTCTATTCACATGCTTAAGCACTTCTGCCAATTTGTGCATTCAGCATATTTTTGAGATTGAAATCAACGTCATCATGATGATTCTACAGGTCTTGATTTAGTACAGAACTTAAGCTAATGTTTAAGTGTTTGGGGAAATTGCAATAAGTTTTTGCATAGTTTTTATGCAGCCTTCTCTTTAGTAAGTGTGTTGTATATGCTCCTTTAATCTCTGTGGAGAGTCACCTTTTGAGTGACATCTGGATTTACAGGATGGACTCTCTTGTATTCTTAGTTTTTTATGCACATCCAAACTACAAGCATTCCATACCTGAAAAACACAGCTTATGTGCCTGTATTTTTCACTTAAGGCTTAATAACCTGCTAAGGAGCTGTAACTGACAACCTAAACAAGCTGAGATGTAATTGTTTCAAGGTTGGAGACTAAACATTAAAGCAAAGCTGCTTAATATATTTAGGTAACAATTGTTAGAGGCCAGAATCCATATCATCTCCTTTAAGGTACAGAAAGAACTGTGGTAGGAGGTTACAGGGAGGTTGGGGTCATAGAAAGGAAAAAGATGAGGAATTCTGCTTTAAGTAGTGAATCTAGAAAGTGATGTTTTGCTGTTAGAATCCATTTTAAGTAGCAGGCTTCTAAATCTCATTCCCTGCTGCTTGTACCCCTTCCCAACAGAACTTTTCTCTTTGCACGGACTAGGAAAGATGTCTCAGTATCCGTGGCCATTTGTACCATCTGCAGCTTGTTTTCCTCACTCAGAATAAAAAATACGAATTCTTTTACTTAATATATTGTGTATTACAGTGGGATCCCATATGAAAAGCAGTCAAGTTCACTTATGAAGTAGCCCTCAAGTGAAAGGCTACGTCCATTACCTAAGTGTTCTCTGAAGAAATCTCATGATGATTTGCCATGTAAGATCTACTTCTGACTTATTTTGTAATTCTGCAGGGGAGGCAGGCAGAGCTGGAGATGCAGTTAAAACATGGAAAAGAGGATCCTGAAGATGTGCATTACAAACAATTCACAGCCTGGCTCTGGTAAGGAAGTGCCTGTCTGCTTCTGATCACTTGTAATGGCAAGTGAGGGGGCAGAGGAGGGCAAGACTTCAATACCTTTAGTTTTGCAAGTTTAAAGACTGTATGAGCACTAATGAAAAAAAAAAAAACCACCAGATGCAATGATGAAGGCGGAGGGGAGGGAGGGGTCATGGGAAGAAGGAGACTACTGGGTAACTGTCCGTAAGGATTCCCATATGCATGGGTTCACAGGTACCTTCCCCTCTACAGTGTCTGAAATTTTGTAGGGTGAGCAACTGGAAGGAATGAAAAACTGTATTTGTTTTGTGTCATGTTAAAGCAGCAGGATTATGCAAAGAGCAAAACTTACTTGAAGAGACTAAGTCAGCTGTCTTACTGAAAATGGCTTGATAAAAGAAATGTGACCCATAGTATGATGTATGTCGTAGTGAACTGAGACATACTTCTGTATGGTAAATTGGCAACGTTGAGCCTGAGGATGTTGTTTAAAACCAAGCACATGACGCACACCGTGATCCATATCCTCAACTACTTCTGTTTCAATCAGCTGAGCAGTATCTGTGTCTGTCAGGATTTAGTCATGTATATGCATGGCCAGGGGGACAAGGTGGGAAGTGGGAGGCTTATGGAGAGAAAGAACTACGTATCCATGGACAGTATAAATAACTGTTTCTGTGCTTGTTCATAAGTGCATTGGGAACAAAGTATGTACAAATGAAACCAAAATGCCCTTTGCCCATTTCAGTCAAAACAGTGTTACTAAGTCGCACTCAACAGGAATATGAAATTTGTGTCTGTTGTTTTATTCCAGCTAAGTCTAGATTTAGAGGCTTTCATAGTAAGATCCAGAATGATATACTGTTGTAGAAGAGATTCTTTATGTAGTAGTGGGACAATTTCCTGTTGTTGCTCTGCCCGATCCCTTTCTTGATAGGGTATAAAGAGAAGACATTTTCCAGGTGAGAATGCCTATAGCAATGCTGCTTTTGTAGATTTCTCCTGAACTGATTTCTGCTATTTCCTAAATAATGTTAATGTAAGCTATGTCAAAAATGAACAGAATTCCTTTCAACAGAAGAGAAATCAAAGCAGTAAGTGAACTGGGAGCCCAGTATTAGCTTTCATGTCTTTTCCTGTTCCCCCTTAATTGTTTGGTGCTTCAGGGCTCTAACTTCAGTACCCATTAAGCATTTGTGTTGCCCACTGGGTTTAACCTGATTGCGGACAGCTTGATATAAACTTCAGTGTTAATGCTTTACTGTATAAGTACTGTGTGATTTTGCATTGGAATTTGCCAAGTTGGTGTGTTTCTAGTGTTGATGGGTTTGAAACTGTGCGCAAAAGCAGTGTGGTTATGAAGGAAAGCCTGAGTAGGTTTCTTTTAAAGCCTGAGTATAACTCAGTCGTATAACATATGGCTCTCTTTTACAAGGCATGCATTTTTTAGTCTGCTAATCACATGTTTTGGAACTGTGATTGGAGTGTGTATTTTTCTGTAGGGTGACAGTCATGGCCAGGATGGTATTGTATGTTGTAGTGTAGACGATCTCTTTCCTCACCCAGACCTGGCAATATAGAAGATTCACTGCATCTCTGCTTCTGTCTTGATATGAATGCAAAACTAAACAAATGCAGACAAGTAGCCTATTATAAATCAACTACAATAATGTGTAAGAAATTGTAACTACTCCTATGGCTTTCGTTTAAGTGGATTCAGGTTACTCTACTGCCTAACAGCATAACTGCCCGTGGTTTCCAGTATAGTAAGTGTTGGATAAATTGTTGTGGTTGTCCATCATAAAACATTCTCATTTTATTATGCTAAGACATAGCACAGTAATCTGGAAATTTGTGTAACAGCTCAAAGAACAGATTTATGATTATTGCATGAACCTGCATTTTACAAAAAGTGGTATGAAGTCAAATAAGAGCCCTTTATAAAACATTGGTAGTGCACATGAGCATGAAGAGCTGTTGGGTGGTACGTAAGCACTTTTACAGTTTTAATGCTCGTGATTAATTTGCGCTAAGTCTTCTGATAGCTAGATGAGAATTGTTAACCTAGAACAGACATGTGTAAGGCATAAGGGGAAATTAGCTAAGTTCGTGCTATAGTATAACGAACATGGTGTAAATTCTTTCTGTTTCTGTTGCAGGGTCAGAGATATGTTGACTGATGTCATCAAAGGTGCTTCCAAGTAAGAACTGCTAATTTATTACAGATGAGAATGAGTTCTTTTTTGTGGCAGAAGATGTAAAATAATATTTTCTGCAATTGGTTATCTGCCAATTTCAAGATTTCACATGACTGCTCTTCAGGAAATGAACTCTTCCTCACCTTGTGCTTTGAGATTTTTACCACTGACTGTGTCTATTAGAAAGGCTGATGCCTAATGTTTTGAGTAAAGCCTGGGTAGTGCTGTATGCACTATTAGGCTGTTCTTTTTTTTAACTAGCAGACTGTTTGCCTCAAGCAGCTTCTTTTATCTAGAAGTTGGCTGGTCTTTAGTGGAATATGGGCTCTTCAAAACTGTCCTACTTTCTGTTAAGGTGTCTGTGTTGTGCCCAGATGCCCCCAAAGGCAGGAAATTACATGTTTTCAGATTGTGACAGGCTTGTTCATTTGCTATTAGAATTAGCATGTGGCTTTCAGGCAGCAATAAGTATCTTAACCTTCTTTCATAGGCTGCTGAAGTGGTTTGACTTTCTCCTTTCGCTCTCCATTGGCACCTAGCTTCCTATTATGCTTTGCCCTTGGTTAATCTGAAATTGGCCACTTGCACCAGGTTAAGCGAAAGCGTCAGAAATAGTGAATCCTTATAAGAACAAGTACTTAGAAAATCTTATACCATGAAGATGTCATCAGTGAAAGAATTATGGTGAAATCTCACAGACTGTTTCAACATTGGTATTCTTGTAAATGTATAAAAGACTAGTTTGAAATACTTTCGCGAGTTGAGAGTTCTGGAGATTTCGATTAAGACTTTCCATGAAGGTTTGAACTTTTTCCTTTTTTAACTTATTGTTCAGATATTTAAAATATTCCCAGCTGTTCCATTTCCTTGCATGTTGGTCCATCCTGAAAGAGTCAGTTAGAGGGATGAAATTGGAAGATCTGTTTGATATTTTAGCTACTCACTAATACCTGTGTTAAGGTAAGGTAGTAGAAAGAGATAAATAAAGGAGGAACAAAATAATAAACTGTAAATATGTCATATTCTGTGTCTCCAAATTAAAGTTATTATGTTATAGAAGTTCATTAGCAAAACTAGTTGAGGTAGAAGCATTGCCTAATTTGGGAGGGAGTGATGAATTTTCTTTAAGTAACAGCAGAAGAACTTCCTGTGCATAGATCATGTCTCTAGAACTTCTTGTGTTTAATGACTTTCTTTTAAGAAAATACTGTTTTTTTTCCCCCATATTTTCAATAAAGAGGAAGACAGTGCTCTTTTTCCTCCTGGGGCTTGTTAGGATATTTTTAACCTTCATTAAATTTAAAGCATCCAGCTTTAATGAGTGTGCAGATCTAGAAGTTTCTAAATGTGTTTGAGGTACACCATGAAATGTAACTTTTTAGAAGTTAATGATCAACAACAATAAAGGTTCTATACATAGATTAGGAAATTATTTAAGGCAAGAGATACGGGGAGATTTGAAAGAACTCAGTTGTAGTTCTACCTAGTTGTAATTATTCATAGGTGTCTCTTATCTGAAAGGAAATAGGTTCAGTGTTCCAAACAGGAGAGGTCAATGACATTCCACTAAGACCTGTGTGTCTTATTTTAAAAAGCAAACCAGAAATCCAGAGATTTTTTTATTGTAAAAATGAGATCTTTGTATCTGGAACAAATGCCTAAATTTGCAGTGTAGGTGTATTTTTACAGCAACAGTTGAGGAAGTTTTTAGAAATGGAAGACTGATGCAGAAAGTGTAGTACACTGTGTACTGGTCTAGTGTAAGACTGTAAGTCGTCTAGTACAGTTGTATTGTTCAGCTGCTATTGTAAAACAACTCAGAGTTCCAGCAGGATTATATTGCAATATGTTTTTCTGGGAATGACTGGGATATCGACATCTATCTTTTCATGAAACTGAGCACAGTTATCTTCTCCCTCTTATTTGTGGGTGGCAGATTTTTTTTTCTTGAGTTCCTTGAAAGTAAAGGTTTGCACTGTGGTAGAAGTTAGTACTCTTCAATGTCATGGAAAATGACAGGTTTCAATGTTTTCATAGCATAGGGGAGTAATTAAAAACTTTTTTTTTTTAAGCTGCGATTTCAGTGATGGCTGCTCTGCTAAATGTCCTGGACAGATGCTGTTGCAGTGAAGTGGCACCTGCCTGTCTAGCATTCTCTGTTTGAAGAGCTTTTTGTGTTGTCCTGTGTAGAGATGGTACTAGTTAAGACCAACTGGTGCATTTCTGTGGGTGCTACTTGTTCTGCAGGGTGGCAGTCCTCATTACAGTGGAAGCAAGCTTCTGTTTTTATAGAGCTTTGTGTGTGCTAGGCTTTTATATAAAAGACAAACAAGAAAAAAGACTGAAACACTCTCTCCCCCATTCTTTCTCTAATTCCTGAAGATAAAATGAGATAGACTTTTGCTGAGCTAGAAGATGGCCCAATAAAGTTGCTAGGTGCAAAGGCCTTCCCTCCTGGACCACCTGTAGCATAACTTTCCTGCACTGAGATACATGTTTTGTTGCCTGCATCTCTATTATGCTTCTTAATAGTTTGCCTTTCTCTGTCCAGAGACAGCCCAGTGGTGAAGGGAAACTCTATTTTTGCCTTAACTGGTCTTGCAGTTGCTGTAGCCAAATACGAAAGCAGCCTTTCCTCAGACACCGAAGGGATGCCTGAGGTGAGTCAATGTAGGAAAGAGATTCTCTACTCTTAGTGGAATATAATGGAGCAATATGACCAGGCGTATGGGGGGCTTGTAGTGGATGCGAAACACGTCACATTTTGAAGTTCAAATTTCACCCTGCTCAGTGAATGCCATCTGGTAGCTGCTGTGTGATATATACGAAAGCAGTCAGAGTATGCAGGCGCCTTCTCACAAGAAACATAATGACTAATGCATTTATTTGTTGATTTTGACAGATGAGATAGAGGTCTGGTGGACACTGAAACCCAGCCAGCCTCTTTTCTCATCGTTTTTGCTTTCACTGAGCAGTACCTGATCAAAAGTAGTGTCTGAAGGGTCAGCATTGGCAAGTAAATCGTGCTACTTACTGTACATAAGAATGACAAAATAATCTCATTCCTGATGGATCGTAAGCTGGAATATCAGCTGCTGAGCTTCTGTTGAGGTAGGTAGGACCTGATTTAAGAAAAAATAACAATTAATGTTTGGGTTTGATTTTTGCAGACCGAACCTGACTTTCTTCCCACAAAACACTGGATTTCAATGGTCACAGAGACCCTCTTTAGTATTGTGAATAGCCGCTATCACCCTAAAGGTCAAGTCTTCCCATGGTTCTACCAGGTACATGTTGTGGTGTTAAAGGCAAGAGAATATATCTGTATTTCATACCTGGAGTTCTTAGTGTGGAGTTTCCAGGTTCTGTTTGCCCTACAGTAGTTGTAATATAGAAGAATCAAAACTTCTCTTGCTTTTGTTCTTTTTCTTTCATTGTGTTTTCTGCTTATATTTGGGTTTGCCTTGACTTTCTGTCTTTATTACCAAAATAGTAAAAACCACATGTGAGGATACATGAATAAAGGAAATTTTAAGCACAAAAAACCCCTTCAAAACCTAGAATATTCAGCATGAATGTACAAAACAAAACCTTCTAACGTGAACAGACTCTCCTCAGACCACACTATCAACGTCCTCAATGATTCTGACACCATTCCTTATGGCTCTGAAATGCATACTTTCTCAAAATGTAATAGTTATGGAGCCGGTGATTCTTATTTTACAGTACCTCTTAAACCCCTGAGGGCCAGTAGAAGTTGTATCACATGTGCTTGTGGTGTGATAACCAACCTGAAATTCTCAAGCCATACAAGTATCGGGCAGTTCTTAAGTAGGACCTGGAGATGGATTGAAAGCTCAGTATAGACCTTAAGGAATAGGTATTGCTAACTCTTGACTATCTGTGGTCAAAATGACCGGGTTGGAGATTATTTGTGTCATGGATGCAGAAGGGAACTTGTGTCCTACAAGGCCAAATACCAGCCTGCTAATGTATCATAATGTTTTCTAACCTGAACTTCATTAACTGCATTCATGAACTGCGTTTAGTCCGGTAGTGAGATGTTAGCATTAAAGAGCTGAAGATTACTGGTGGACCTGAGTCAGCTCTGGCATATGACCCCTGTCATCACGGATAGGGGACATAGATCACCAAATCAAATGTAGTGTTAAATAAACGCTAGACTGGTTGGACATAAGGAGATTCAACTACTTGGTTGGCACTAGCAGTTCTTTCTGAATTGTTCTGTGACTCCTGCCTTTTAAAATAATGCTGTTTAAAAGAGGTGGTTTTGAGATGGAACAATGTGACAGTGTTTCATTTCTGAAATCCACTCTGTTTAAAAAAAAATAAAAAAAATTTATGCTTGTAAAATTCTAAGGCACACAATAGAAATCCCTGTCTTGCAGAGTGCCTTGCATCCTGATGGGATTTTTTTCTTTTCTTTTTCAGAGTTGCACATGGAAGTTGATAAATATACATTAGGCTATTCCTTACAATTAGTCCATTGCTTTATGAGTAGAGGTAGCTGTGTGGATTTTACCTTTCAAAATGGAAAGGAATTAAAAACCTTTGTAGGAGATTTTTCTTCTAGAAAACATCTCTACTGGTTATCTTGCAAGGTCTCATGATACTTTGTCATCCTAGGTGTGATGCTTTTAAGGTAGTGCTTTTTCCAACTCACTAAACTCTTGGTGTGTTATAATTACAGAAGTACATTAACATCATGGCTGGTTTCTGTTTGCCCTTCTGATCATGCTGCTAGATATTTTAACAAGGAAGGTGAAAACTAAAATAGACCAATGTATTTATGTGCAGACTAGCTGTTAAATTCTAGTTGCACCCTGTCTTATCCTTTGTTTACAGTTTCATACATAACAATCTTATTTACACTTAGAAATTATGTTCTCAATTACCCTAGTTTTAAGCTGCTTACAGGGTAAGGCAAATGGAAAAGTTACCATAGGCAATTCCATGAAATACTGTTTATTGCCAGATTGCAATACATCTGTGCTTCTGTTTGCTGTATGGGTATTTATTTTAAATTCCTAAAGTGCTGAGTGTTACTACCTGGAAAGGAATTTTATTTTCCTCCCCCAAGAGGAAAAGAAAAAAAAAATCTTTATGTTTTTCTAGAAATCCTATTCAGGTGAAAATACTGCTAGTATTATAGCTCGTTCCTGTGCGGCCACTGCTTTGTCTCTCCTGGTGCCAGTTTTCATTGTATCGTGCAAGGAGAAGGTTGAGGAGGTCCTGAATATGCTGACTAGCAGGTTACCTGGGAAACCAAATGCTGATGAGTCTCAAGCTGTTCAAATCCACGTGGGCCTTGGTCTGGGGATGTTCATCTCACGTTTATATGAAGAAAAAGTCAGGTAAGTATTACAATATGTAATGCAGGTGTGCAAATAACTTCCTTTTTCCTGCATGTGGCCTTAAGTTCTGAGGAATTAAAGTATTTACAAGTTATAGGCAAATGATTCTTGAGGGGCTTTGCAATGTTTCTTAAAAGGTGTCTTTTATTACTAATCTTCACCACCCACCCCCACAGTGCTATCCTGGATATTTTGCCATTCTTTCAGGTTGAATGATTAATTTTCATAATATCCTAAGGTACATGTGCAAGGCAGTCAGCTAGAAGAGTCACACATATGCTTTTAAAGGACACTAGCTGCCCTAGGAGATTTAATTGTAAAATAATTCACAGTTCTCATCGGTTCCTTTCTAAGCAGTGCTCTGGACACTGGATAGTGTCCACTTACATCATGTGAGTTACACATACGGGGATGGAGCAACAACAGAAGTAGTGTAATGAGCTGCCTTAGACGTGTACTGTTACAGCTATGTTGGCAGCAAAGAGATGTTCTTAAGTTGGTGGAAAATGCCTCCTTTACAGAAGAGTTGGCCCCAGTTTGCAAATTTCCAGTGATTCCAGAGAAATTAAAATGTAGGTTTGGCTTTATACTCCTCAAACTTCTTGACTACTAGGTTTTCTGTCTGGCTGTATACCCATAATAAATGTTTAATTGGTGCACAAGCACAGGTATCAAACAGGTTTGGCTGGCAGTTGTTAATTTGCTCAGTGAAGCTAATGTTTCTGACATACCTGCCTGTGTTAAAACACTGTGCAGCATTGCTGTGTTCTAATCTTCGTGTTTTGGTGTCTTGATGCCTTGCTGCCTCTGACTCAGCCACATAATTTGGCCATGGACTGTCCCTGAATGATTAGTCAGTAGTGACAACTGAGCTACACACAAGCATTAAAAGGCTTTTAAAGAGAATGACATTACATCAGCTTGGTATTTTGGACTATCTGAATCTTTATTTTGGGTTTGTGGGTTTTGTCTTTTTGTTTGGTGAGGGGTATTGAAATTACTAAATTTATTTAAAAATTTCTTATGGACTATATCAGTTTTACTCTTCCACTGCCCTGCATAATTTCAAAGCTTAATCTCACACATTCTTCCAAGCATTGACTTGCAACAATAGCAAAACTTGAAAGGATGTAGCTATAGCTAATACCAAATCATAGAGTTAGTTTGCATTAAAGTTGTCTTGTTCATTAAGAAAACTGTGTACATGTTTTGTAAGAGGGGACTCCCTATGACGTCTTTGGAGTGAGATGTAAATGCTTCCTTTTTTATCAATAAGTTAGGCAAAGAGATGGAGAGAGAGATTTATGGATCTAATATCTTAATGTCATGAATTTTCAGCTTATAAGTAGTTAACAGGTCTAGCTGAAATCATGTTCTATCAGTATCCTCCTCCTGCTGTCAGGCATGTTTTACAAATCCTGGGTGCTGGGTTTCTTTCTGGGTGTTGTAGCAATAATGGTTGCCAGTTAAGGTCTGAATACGTTTTTATTATTTGTATATGAGTATGTTTATATGAATGTGTCACAAATGACCAGTCATACAGTTATTGCTTACAGGCTAGTATGAGAACCTGTTACAGCAAGAAAAGAACTCTATTTACTGGCACATTCATTCTTAGCAGGAGGTTTAGTATCCTGTATGATTTAAAGAGCAGAGCTGCATTTGGGGTTTTTTGTTTCTGTTTTGTTTTGTTTTTCTAGTGAGGTACCCAGTCAACAGTTGAACTTAGTTCTAATGAAGTCCCTGGATGCGCTAGAAGACTGTTGTTTTGACACCACTCTGGAGTACAAGTGAGTTTCCTTCATTACTGATGATGATACCTTGTTTTATTTTGAGCTCCACCTTCTTAATTCATGCTTTTATTCCTTAATTCTACACAGAAGAATATAAGGATAGGATAAGGAGACAGCCTGTTCTGAGTACTTCCATAGAATTACCAACTCGTGCAGGCTGGCGAGGACCTTCAGAGGTCCACATTCCGCCATAAAACAGACTCAGCCATGGACTTGGACTACATTGCCCAAGGCTTTACTGTCAGGGTTTGAAACCCCCAGGACTGGAGATGGCATAAGGTCTCTGGGCCCTGCCTCCACTTTTGGGCTGTCCTTATCTCTGTGTGAAAGTCTGATGTTTCAGCTTGTGCCCGCTACCTCTTGGCCTCACACCATACAAGAGCCCAGCTACATCTCCTCAATCCTTTCCTGTCAGTGCTGGAGATGTTGTTGGGTGCCCCCAAAGCCATCCCTCTCACAGATGAACCAGCTGTGGCCCCACAGCCTTTGCTCTCAGGGCAAGGGCTCCAACCTCACTGCCTCAGTAGCCTGCCATGAACTTGTTCCAGTTTTGTCAGTATCTTTCCTGCATTCAGAGCAGTATTCCAGGTGTGTTGGTGAGCACAGAGTAGAGGGGTGATCCTTCCCCTGGCTCTCATGGCTGTGTCCCGCTCATGCTGCCCGTGCACTGCTGGCCCTCATCGCTGCCTGGGTGTGTGTCTGGCCCCAGTTCAGTTTGCTGCCCACCAGTGCCCATGGCTGTCCCCAGGAGCTGACACCCATCCCCTCTGGTCCCAGCCTGTCTGTTGCCAGATGCAGGACTGTGAGTTGGTGGTTGTTGAACTTCAGGATGTTCCTGCTGGTTTATTCCCCTGTGTACCATCTCTTCTAAATGAGTGTGTCCATAAATAAATATATATACAAAATACTTTATGTATGAACATATATAAGTGTATGCATATGTGCGTATATCTAACACACATACACACACAGGTTTTTTCCATACAGTCCCTAATGCGAGGTGAACAGAAGCAATGACCACCCAGCTGCTAATGCCTGCCAACCCACAAGTAAAAACCTTGGGCATGTATGGAGAACCACACAGTCTTGCTCACAGGCAGTGGGAAGATATCAGCAATTCTAGGAGCAGGGTTGCTCATCTTACCGGCACATGTTCGTTAATGAAAGATGTTTTTGAAAGTCCTTCCTTGGTGTTCTTGGGTGTTTGCCAAAGTGTTCAATGAAGTCTAGCTGCTTCTGCGTTGGAGCCTGTTACTGGAATGTGCATGTGTGTGCAATACAGTGTGAGCTCTGGGAGCAGCTGCCTCACGTGGCTTATTTATCTGGGAGAGCCAGGCTGTTCATTTAACAGCTGTGGATGGCATGTTGAATATTGAGTAAAGCAAATATATTTCATTTAACCAACTGAGGTTATGCTTCAGGTGTCCCAAAGAGAGGAGCCGTCCACCAGCAGGGCAAGAAATTATTGGAAGGTATTGCACAATTACTAGCATTGGCAAAGCTGGAATAATTGAACAATAAAACGAAACGCATGTGTCAGCTGCCATTAAACAACTAATAGAACATAGTAGTATGTGTCTTCCACAGTAGTCATTTCCCTTTTAAATAAGGGAACGAACTGCAGTATGTTGAGTGCCTCAGTGTGTGTGCATAGGGTTTTATTTGATTTTGAACATTATTCTGCCCAGTTCTTTCCTGTTCAAAGGAAACAGAGCAATAATTGCTGTTTGCCTTCGCCCTCCCCTTCTCCAGTGGACCTTCTGAAAAGCTGTGACGGGTCACAGTTGCACACCATTGGGCTGTCAACCTGTATAGCCTAGTCAGGATTTGGGTTTCCTCTGGAGTGGCACAGGGTGAGACACATGGCGCACAGGGGGCTCTATCAGCTGCATCACTTTGTTACACCTGTTGCTGCTTGTTTGTGCAACCTATTATTAGCTGGAGATATGTGCCTCACAAAAGAGCCAAAGCAGACTTCTCTGGCAGCAAGAGGTTGCCAGGAGAATATGAAACAATGGCAAGCAGGTGAGGGAAGATGGAAGGGTGGGTAGTTTTTCACGCTGGGTGTAATGGCTACATTTTTTAAAGGCTAATGGTAAGTTGGTGTCTAGCGTGAGCACTCTTGGTGAGCGAAGGTGTAATGTAAAGCTGTAAATGTTGCAGACTTGTCCAAGTTTGGCAGTTGTTCACTTTTAAACTGCTATTCCAAAGCAAGGGCCTTTCCAGCCTTCTCATCCAGTATGATAGGCATGGCCAACAACTGTGGGATGTTACACTGACCTCTTCATCAGCGTTTCACCTGTGCTAAACAGGCGATTCTCTTTTTCTGTTAAAATAGGTTGCAAGTTTTTTGATGGTAGGTATATTATGCAGTACAGATGCGGAAGGACGGAGTTCCCTTTTTTCTGAATCCCAGCAGTAATCATATCCCCTCCTGCCGCTGCTCTGAGGTTACACGGGGCCGGGGGGGTCTCCGGTACCAGCCCGTCGCCGGGCGGGGCGCGGGGAGCTCCGCGGGCCGCCGCCGGGCCGGAGCTGTCCGGGCTCATGCTGCCCCCTAGCGGAATGCGGGGGCCCCCCGCACCCACCTTGTGCGGTGTGGCATGCCTCCTGATTGTTTTAGAAAATGTGCCCCTCTGCTCAGTAACCCCCTTCTCCGGGGTCTGAAGTGAGGCATCTCACACACTGAAGGACGTTATCGAGAAGGAGAGGGTTTTGCTGGATTTTTGGTCTGTTTTGTTTTTCTACCTTGAGTGTCTAGATAAGAAAGTGTTTTATCAATGCCTGTCCTATGCAAACTGGAGATCACACAACCACACTTCCCTGATCATGTCAGCCTTGATAGGAATGTTGTTTTTATATTCTTCATTTAATTAGGAGAATTCTCTTTTTAAAGGGTGGGGGGGTGGGAATGAAGAAAACAGAGTTGCTTTCAATAAGCAGTAAGAATCTTTCCCTGAGCCAGTGCTTTACCTTGGTGAGAGTCCAGTTACGTTCCATAAGAATCTCTATGTCTGTGTAAGTTGCATAAAATACTCTAAACTTAGTTTCCTCTCAGAAAAGGTCACTGTGAGAATAATGCTCGTAAATCAATACTCTCATTTTTTTTTCCTGTGTGGTTACGACAGATAAAAGTGAAACTTATAATCTTTTAAAGGGGGAAAAACATTTCAGATTAAGCATGTTAATATGATGCTTCTTCAGTTTTTAACTGAAACACAGTTTCATAGATTGCAGAGCCTTAGGAGCTTTGCAGTTACTCCTGATTTTAAATGGAATGCACTCAGACATTATCAAGAGATCTATGAGTGGACCTTAAATCTGCCCTTGCATTAGACAGAAACTGAAATAATACACCACTTGATACACAATGATACACCACTTTTCAGTGTACACATGTATGGAAAATGTGTATGACAGGTGATTTAGACAGTTCTTTATGCTACTGGGTTTTGTGAGACTTAGTGATTACAGAAGCTATATACAGCCCATTTTTTCTCCCAAGCCTGACTTAGATAGAGCATAGATTCAGCAAGCATGTACATTCATGGCTGTTAACTTTCCCAATTATTAATGCAGATTATATTCAATAGATTTTTGTCAGATCAACCTCAGTGTACTGGGGAAAAATAATAAATAAATAATTAAAAAAAAAAAAAAATCAGAGGCAGGGTTCCAGTTGTCACAGTACAGCATATGGGTAACAAACATAGCAGTACATATGGCCCCTGTATTGGAAGGTTTTGCTTCCCCCCACTCCCCTTCCCCGCCTTCCTGCAAACAAAGAACAACATGTGTTGAAGATTGGGTTAAGTCTGACCTTTTGAAAGTTTTGCGTGTGAAAAGTTTTTGAGAATATCAAGGAGCAGTAGAGTTTTCTGGCTTGCCTTGTTACATTTCCCATATTGAGGATAAATTCTGCAAGACCGTTGCAAATATGGCTTTTTGTATAAAGTTATTGCATGGCAGAACTAGCTTGCATCTGTAAGAATTAATATTGGAGAAATATTGAGCAAATGATAAACGCTGACACATGTTGAGTAAAGATATGGTAAAGAGCAAATTGTTATGAAACTTGAAATACACAGTATCCTTCCTTCAAATTGCTGTGTGGAGCATTAAACTGACTTGCTTTTTATGGAGTTTTTTGCAAGGTCAGTAGCTGTTTGATTTGACTTTAAGGCATTTTCAATCAAAACTGTCATCAAACTTTTATGTTGTTTTTGAAGAAACCTGTCAAACTCCACTGACCTCAGTATTATCAGGAAAATACCAGTTTTCCTTCATCCTAAAATACAAACCTTTTATTTTGTTTCATGATTTGTTCATTAAGTCCTTCATTCTGTGATGTGATGGTCTGAACTGCCCTGTACTCTGCCAAGTTACATTATTGAGAAAAATGACAGTAGATTCAAGGATGAGTCATGACAGTAGTGCAGTATGTCTGATGCGCTGGCAGTAAAACACTTAAAATGTGCTGGGACATCTGAGATATCATGTGGATGAAGTCCACTTAAATATTAATTTTATGTAGATCACAAACAAGGTGGCCAAGTGAAAACAATTGCTAGTTACAAAAAGGAGAGCAGAGGGGATGAAGTCTTACCCTTGCTTCAGTCCCCAGTTATGTTTTGGGTCTTTGCTAAGAGTCAACAACAAAAAATTGCAGCTCTAATTAGGAACTTTGTTTTCTTTCTGTGTATTTTTGTCAACAAGCAATAGTGTGAAATTGTGTATAGAACTCTTGTGTATAAGCCATGTCCTTATTTTATTGGCTGTTCATGAATTCAGATATGCCAGTTACTTAAATGTTCATTCCAAACGTTTGTTTCACCTTCTTTGCTGGAAGAAGAAGACACCGCTGCCAAGACACCACTCCAAGTCTTCTAGACATGCTTATCATCATCCCCAGCTGCTGAAAAACATTAGCTTATAAATATGACTGAAGTTGTTCTCAGAAGTTTCTTTTTTTACTTAGCTGAGTAAAAGCAGTAACTCTCCCCATTTTTAAGTTGGATAACAAAAGCTTAGAAGAATGCCTAAGATCCTAGCCACGTTTGTTTGACTGCTCGCTACATGCAGTGTCTGTCACTGGCATGCTCAGGGAGATGGGCGAGGGGAAAAAAATCTTCATCTTCAGAGAAGAGCTGCTTCTTTAAGGCATTGTGTATGTGTGCCAGTGAGAGATCACCTTCAGAGCAGTGAGTATGTGCTATGCTTTTAGTATCGTATGATGGCAGCCAGAACTGTTTGTGAATTTTCTGAGAAAACTTTTCAGTATTATGACTGATGACCTGTGGAAACTGAAACTTGTGGGAGTACAGGTGCTGAATTTAGTAAGAGTTCTCTGGTCCAGAATGGAATTTCTGGTCAAATCTGAAGAAGAGCCAGAGACCGTGAAGCTGTTCATGCCAGCTACCCTAGTAAATTATGTATTTCGAAGCTATGTTCTTCTTGCTGCAATTTTAAGTATCCTGAGCATCAAACTGTTAGTTGTGCTGGATATATCTGCCCTGTTGAAGCTGGTCCACTGTTGCATATGCGTATTTTAGTACATATGGGTTAGAATGTGTACTTCACACTCATGTTCTGAAATCCAGGTGAATACCTTAATCTGTACAGCCCTCTTAGCCGCTCTCTGGCTCAGTCACTAATTTCATTGTTTTTGCAAACTGGAATACCTCTTGCAGGAGTCTGAGAGCAACAAACCCTAATATTAAGGGTATTGCAGTGGACCTGCAATTAGTGTGTTTAACTAGGATATCAGTTTGGGATATCAGTATAAATCAGATATAGAAGTTTGGATCCATACTTCCTTCCTACTAGTTGATGTGCTTGTTGATGGGGCTGTTAGTTCTTCAGGGGCAGAAGGAATAATGAGGCTGGATGTGTAGGACTTACTATCTTAAACACACATTTTCTTCTTATGCTCTTCTTTCATCTTGTATCTCCCGAAAAGCATCACCTATGTGTGAAATAAAAACCATTTGTAAAAGTGACTGGGGTAAGTAATTATCCACAGGGCTAGTTATCAGGCAAGGCCAAGAGGTCTTTTTGCTCAGCAACCCATGCTGGGGTGAAAAGAGAGTTCAGAGCAGCCAAAGCATACTTAATCCTTTTTCTTTTGTCTTCTCTTTAAGCACTGGATGTATTTTGGGAGTAGGACTTGTTCTTTCACTTATGAGTCACAGTAGCCAAACAGAATCGCGAGTGCATGTTTCCGCTTCCTTGCGAAAACTCTGCAACTACCTGGACAGCAGTGAGGACCAAAGCAGATGGGTCCAGGAGGTATGACCTATTTTATCGCAAATTTTAAATCTTCCTTTTACTGTGTTGCCTCCCTTTAATAACTATAGACTTTTTACTGAAGCTTTGTATCTGTAGTACTGGAATGCCTGGTTTCTATTATTTCTTTCACAATATATGGTTTTATATCTGCTGAAGAAAACAGTAATAATAATAATAATAGAATAACCTGTAATGCTGCACAAACATTAAGAAACTGCCTGAAAAGATAACAGACATCATTCTTTAAAGTGCTCCTTTAATTCCTTAACCTCAAATTACATTGTTGAAAGTTGGGTCCTGAGTAACTGTGGATATGGGTGTCTCATATACAGCTGTTTACTGCTCATCTGATCTACTAGAAAGCAGACAGCAGGTTACTCTCAGAGAGAACCTTAATGGTAATACTTCCTCCTTCAGTATGCCTTCTGTTTCCTTTGAAAGCTGCTGTCACTAGCTAGTGTGAATCTTGCACTTGTGAATGCTGCTATGGCCCCATTTGCTCTTCTCTTTATAACTGTGTTTTGAAGACTTAAACTGAGCTCTGCTAAGGTTGAACATGCATTTCAATCTATTTTGCCAAGATATGTCCTGTAAGTTTTGAAGTGGTCTGTGCACTAAGTCTATAACCTTGTTGAGGTAAAACTTGGGAAGGGAAACTGATGAAGTTGGAGGAGTTTACAACAGAAAACAAGAATCGGAATAAGCAGGTGTTTTGCACACAAAAAGCAATGCTGTACCTGGTGTATGTAAGCCTGCAGCAGCTGAACAGCTGAGTTGCATAATCCTCTGTTTTTTCTAAGGGAGTTAGCAGAGATTGGTAGTATTATTCTCTTTCCCCTCTTGGTACTGCTCTGAAAGCTCTTTATTAAAGGTCTTTTTTTATGGAGTTTAATTTTTTTGGCAGTACATATGTGTTGGGGATTAGCCTTTTGCAGTTTATTGTTCATGCATTAAAATGACTTACAGCTATGAAATAATTTCTCTCCCCAGAGATCTCAAAGTGCTTTCCTGAACTTAAATTGTGTTCAATGCAGCAACTTCTGAGATGAAGGCAGCAGCTGTTTAACATCATGAGATAGTTTGGGATGAGAAGCAAAACCTACCCTTTTCAATTAAAATCTCTGTAAGGAATTGTACAGATAATTACATGAGTAAAATTTGGCCAGCACCCTAGGATGAATATTACTGTATTTATGAGATACACAAGAGGCTCTTTCAGAGCTATAAATGGCTGGGATATAATCCTGTACTTGAGAGGTAACTGTGGCCTGCTGCAGCAGGAGGTACAACCTGAGCATTACTTGCTCCAAGTCAAATTGTTGTCAATCCTGCACATTAGGTAGGTGCTCTCTACTTCCCTTATAGTCATGTGTTGTTCTGTTGCTTAGCTTTGGTACAAAGGAGGTTAAACAGTTGGCACAGTTGCCTTGTTGAAAGTTCAGACTTCCTTATTCTCCATGTCTAAGGCTGAAGAACAGAAGATCGGTGTCACTTGTGAATCCTTCTGCAAGGACACGAGGCTAGTGTCATGCACTGTGTGTGGGAGACAATTCTACTACGTGCTCCTCTTCTGGCCTTGTGGCCTGCTTGTAGCCCTGATGGGATCACAGCATGTTGTGTATGCTCACATAAATAATGATCAGATACTTGTGTTGAGAAGAATAACTGCATTTGTGTGGAAGATCAGGAGTCTGACCTACATAAAACCAGCAGTACTTCCAAGCTTTAGTTGTATTTGTTTAATGTTATCATCAATGAAGAATCTTTCAGAGAGGGAGTAACATCTGAAAGTATAAATTTAAAATGTCCTGGCTTTTTTTATGATGCTGGCACATTGCTCCATGTGCACATTGCTACAGGCAACTTGATCAGACACTGGTTAACAGAATTAAATAATATTTTTTTCAGGTACTTGCCTATTCTGTGGCCTGTTCCTGTGTCTCTGCTTTCAGTGTTGGAATCATTGAAGCAGCTGAGGCTGAGGAGGCCATGAACAAGCTACGGACCTTAGTGGAAAATAATCAGCAGGTCATAATTCAGCGTTTGGGCTTTGCTTCAGTTGTGTTTTTCTCTTATCTGTTTAATATTGGATGCTGCTTTACCCAGACTGTAACTTCAAGAAAATCATATTCATCTACTTTCGGCATTAACTTTGAGTGTGTTGTGCATACCATGCAATTACCAAGACTACCACTTGATCCATTGATACATTGTCTACAAGTGTATAGCATTACCAGACAGTGAAATAAAAACAGATTTTATATGTTTGATTGCATTTAGAAGGGAAGTTGGTACTTCTGAGTTCTTCATGTCTTTGGTCCCTGCGTCCTGCCAATTTTTGTCTCTTTTAGAATGTGTTTCTTTAGATTCTTTTTCTTGGTAGGAAAATATATCTACTGTGCTCTTTTGAATTTTTGCTTTCCCTTAGCTTCCAGACAGTGCATCACAACCATAGCCACAACTTCTTCCAGGTGTCTGTTTCATCCCTGGTGTCCTAGGGTTACCTTCTAAAAATGCCAAAAATAATCTCCATATTTCAGCGAGTGTTCTTTTTTGTTAAATGCTTGCCAAAAAAAAAAGGGCGGGGGGGGAGAGAAAAAAAAGGCAATAATTGTGAATCAAAGTGTGCTATTACACTGATCAACTGTTTAGAATGTTTATCTGGAAAACGGGAAATCGGAACAAACTATGTTTGCTACAGCTTTTTATCTTTGTATCAGAAAGTCTGCTCTAAAATAAAGGCTGCAGAGCAATCCATGTGCCAAAGATCAGTATTTAATCTCAGAAAATCCTATGTCAGTTGACATGAGAAAATACTTGAAATAAGAAAATACTTGAAATAAGAAAGCATCCAGTATTTTAGACAAAGACATAACTTCTAATTATTGGGAAATAATAATTATTTAAGTAATGTTTCAGTAATAAATATTTTTTAAAAAATACAGAATCCTTTGGAAGATCTGTTTTTCAATGTGTCTTTTTCACCTTACCAGACCCATGGTTTTGCTTTAGCTCTGGGTGCAATAGTACACGGATTGTCAACTTGTGGTCATGGGAAAGCTGAAGACCTGAGTAACAGACTAATGCCAGCCTGGATAAAAATTGTGCTTGCAGAGGTAAAGGAGTTTTAATTCATATCCTGTTTTTTTGCAGGAGGTGGGGGGGGTGTGTGTGTGTGATTTTAAATGAGCAGTAGGGACATAATTTTCCTTGCTTCTGCAGGAGTGATGCTAGGAAAAGCTAGGACTATCTCAACATGCTGTTTGATTGATATTTGGAAGCAAAAATATCTTTGGGCTGTTTGCTAAAGGAAAAAAAAATGTTTCTCTTCTGCTTGGATGATTTATGGAAAATACCTATCTCAATGAGATCTTAATTTGGAGATCTTTACTAATTTGGAACAATATCCAAGGATGAAATCTGGGTTATTAAATGAAGATGCCTTGTGAAATCAGGTGCTACTTATCAAAATTAGACTAACAGAATGGTGATTATAGTGCCTCAGTTGTTATAATAATTTTAATTTATTTCATTGTAACAAAGATTGCATGTTTGAAATCAAACTCTAAACTTACACATTAAGATTGCAGCTGAAGGTAAAGTATCAGTACAGTGTTTCAGAGTTGAATTGCACTGGCATATTTTGTGGAATACAGACTGTGCTAGAAGAAAGTGATTTGTCAGGGAGAAATGCATGATGATTTCAGATTGAGGGGGGAGTTGGGGGAAGCTCCATATAAAGTCTTTTTTCACCAAGAGAGGGATGAATCATCATCCAGCATGCTGGAATCTGACCTGAAAAGGTTGCTGGGATGAGAGGTGTACAAGTGATAGCAGTCATGGTTTTTAAGTTGGAAGAAACAAGTCTTTTGTCCTACAGTAGTGTTCTGTGACCACATTGACTCACTGATTCTGAATTATGCTTCCAGGGTTCTCCAACAATGCAGCGTCTGGCTGCTGTCAATGGGTTGGTTGCACTCGTGGGCTCTGAAGGAAGCATGATACAGGTGAGAACATGCAAGCAAATGGTACTTTTATGTCTTCTAGAAATTTGGCTAGAAGGCAAGATGGAATGACATCCTCTGCGTCCTTACAACAGTGGTTATATACCAGGGCATCCCATTTATGCAATAGTGAGTCATGTTGGGTATGAAACAAGCGGGATAGAATTACAATGTGTAAAATGGGGTCTGTTCCATTTTCCCATCACATGGCCCATGTGCAGTGCCATTAGGGAAGACTGTACAGCCATGTAGGCTTTCTCCTTTTCTTCTCCACTCCCCCACAAAAATGCATGTGTGCAAACGTGATCTGTCTTTTCAGCACCTGTTCTCCCATTTGTTGTTTCTTTTCTTCCCTTACAAAATCCACATAACTTTTTTTTTTTCTTTTTCTCTGGCAGCTGAAATCTGAGAGCATTCAGTCTTCCCAGTTTCAAAGTAAGCTGAATGAAGTCATCAGAACCCTTACACAGGTAAGAAGGTAGCCTCTGTTTCCTGCTTTGGATAATGCACTAGGGTACTGTGGCATCTTGCACAAACAGGCCAAATCTGTTTAAAGAAGCTTCATAATGTCTGTGTCCAGCTTGAATGAGGCAACGTAGGGAAACTTGTCTAAGTAGTGGTTTATTGTCTCAACAGATTATCAGTTTTTCAGGGCAGATTGGCCTTCAGACAAATGCAGCAGGACTTTTGGGACGCCTTCATATGTCCTGTTTGTCTTCTACCCAGAGCAGGGCATCCGGTAAGATGCTTTATTATTGCTGCTTAAAGAACATACAGAAGTAGCACCTAGCTAAAAAGGCAGCAAGGGACACATTAGACAATACAGGCTAGGCATTGCAGCCATATTAAATGACATGACAGCCTTTGAATCGGAGACCTCATGGTCCTGTGTGCCAGAGCTAAAGGTTGGAACAGGAAGCAGGAATCAGTGTTCTAAATAGGATCCCCCCCGTCTGCTTTTACTTGCAGTATCAAAGTAAGGTTCTAAGTTGTTCTGGTCAAACTTGTATATTGCTTCTGTCTTTATTCTTTTATAGAATAAATTGTAAAGAAGGTTTACACTGCATATGGCACATGTGTTTGACATCTACATTATCCGTTCCATGCCCTGAGAAGCAATTACTCTACTCTGTTTTAGCACTTCCCACTGTATAAAAAAGCCAACTCTCAAAAACTGGTCCGTAACAAGAGCAAGCTGACTTTGCAAAAGTATTTTTATAGAAGAGATGTTCTCTGGTTAACTGAAGTAAAAAACTGCTGTTTTGTAGCTACTTTCAGTGTAGCAGTTAGCACAGAAATTCATATTCTGTCGATACATCATTACTTTCTGGTGGTGTTTCAACATCCATTGGTAAAATAAAGGCAGGATTACACCACTGATGAAATACCAGTAATAGGAGGGAACTAATGAAGTGGAAGCTGTTCACTTCAGTGTGAACCAAGTTGGGAACCAATAATATGAAGTGTAGGTAAACTTCCTCATCACAGAAAAAAGATTCTTGGAGTTTCTACTGTTGTATAATCTTGGCACATGTGTTTGAGGTTAGATAGATATGGAACGTCTCTGTTTTGTTACACTTTACTAAGCTTTTGAAGCTCTGCCTTTTAAAGCCTGACTCGCAGTGGCTGATAGATTTTAAGGAAGTTCTTATCCCTGGCCTTTCAGTTGGTCAATGACTTTGTTTTTTCAGACAGGGCACCTCTCACCAACACAAATGTTTAGCTTGCCTTAAAAGTGGAAAGAACAATGCATCTATCAATAATCTTGTAGTCTAAATGTTGCAAGTCACCTACAGAATTAGTTAGCTCAAACATAGCTCAGTTTGGCATTTGCATTTACATGGGAGCTGGAGGTTATAAATTCTGCTGACATGTTTTAGTATATAAACAGTCTTTTCATCTTCACAGTTCCTCCAGATTTTAGCTACTTGCCTGAAAACAGCTTTATCAGGGCAGCCATTGACTTTGCCATTGAAAGTGGAAAGAAAGGTAAGAAGGGATGAAAGTACAGTATCCCTCTGGGAAATTTGTTATGACTATAAAAGGTGACCCTAATAACCCCCTTCTATTTGCTAAGAGAACTTTTCTAAATACTAATTAGAACTTCACTAACGTGGTATATTTAACCTCTGAACAAAAAATCAAATAACACTCAAAAAGATAAGGTAGAATTGTTGTCGTGGTTTCAGCAGGGATAGAGTAATTTCCTTCCTAGTAGCTGGTACAGTGCTGTGTTTTGGATTTAGGGTGAGAACAATGTTGATAACACACCGATGTTTTAGTTGTTGCTAGGTAGTGCTTACACTAGCCAAGGACTTTTCAGCTTCCCATGCTCTACCGACTGAGAAGGCTGGAGGTGCACAAGAAGCTGGGAGGGGGCACAGCCAGGACAACTGACCCAAACTGGCCAAAGGGACATTCCATACCATGTGACGTCATGCTCAGTATATAAAGCTGGGGGAAGAAGAAGGAAGGGGGGCACGTTCGGAGTGATGGTGTTTGTCTTCCCAAGTAACCATTACGCGTGATGGAGCCCTGCTTTCCTGGAGATGGCTGAACACCTGCCTGCCCATGGGAAGCAGTGAATGAATTCCTTGTTTTGCTTCGCTTGCGCATATGGGTTTTGCTTTACCTATTAAACTGTCTTTATCTCAACCCACGAGTTTTCTCACTTTTACCCTTATGATTCTCTCCCCCATCCCACTGGGGGGGAGGGGGTGAGCGGCTGTGTGGGGCTTAGTTGCCAGCTGAGGTTAAACCACAACAATTGTGTAGTTAGGGCTTTAGTTGTCTCCACTGAAATTTTTACGACTTCTTAAACCCTTTCCCTTTCTGCTTCCTCTGTGTCTGTGAGATGAAGTATCTTCCCTGTGGGAATGACAGTCAAATCACTTTAAGTGTTAGCCTGTATCCTCAGGAATACTCCATCATCAGGCAAACTTTATGCTGCCCTTTATTTCAGTGATCCTAGGTTAAGATTCTCCATAACAGAGTTGTATTCAAATGGGGTACTGCTATGTGTGATAAATGCAAAGGAACCTGAAGAAAGTATGCAATTATGTGAGGAGTGCTAGTAAAAGAGAGATGTCTTGGAGTACAGTCTTAAGGGAGATAAAGCAGAGGAGATTATTCCTGTGTGGAGCTAAGCGAGCTCACTGTTGTCCTATGAAGCAAGCTTTGCTTTCAATGGAGGTAAAAATTGCTCATGCCTTGCCTCCAGGAGGACTTTCACTGAGTTAGCTCCCTGTGTTTAAGTAACACAGTATGTGGCAAAGGTTAGCACCTGTCTGACAATTTTGTGGCCTGCACCTGCAGGATGGGGAAGGAGAGCAGTGTCTGAAAACTTTGCTGTTCTTCTACTAACAAATGCAAAAATACTACTCTACTAGATGAGGAATATCTGTAATTAACTCATAAATTGGTTCAAGGAGAAGGAACCAGAAAGTTTCTATTTATCCGTAACAAAAAGCCTTTTTTGATAGGACATTAATATTAAAAATACAACTGTTGATTACAAACAAGGGACAGCTAATTCTCAGATGCAAAAAGAAATAACAGTAATTTTATACTTCTTCACTACAGATTGGTATTCAGTGCAGTGTTCACATTGTTATCCTGAGCTGTTTAGCCAAATGTGTGTGTGTAAAATTCAGACTGTGATTAAATCTTCTGCCGTAGGCCCTGAATCTGTCCCAGTTGAGCTGATGAAAGTCGCATTGGCACCCATTGCATTAGTTGGAGAAAGCCATCAGTATCCACCTGTAAATTGGGCATCCATTCTTTCTCCTTTGATGAGGCTAAACTTTGGTAAGATTAATAGTTTTCTATTAAGTCTTTTGTACTTGCCACAAGACTTCTTTACTAACACAGCTTTCACAGACTTCAGGGCCCACTTCAGGGCTTGAAGTTATTGCAAGGATTGAAGTCTTTACTATGCTTTCAAGAAGACCAACTTTTTAATGTTTGCAAGCATGTATTTGTGATCACCGTGTAGACACAGTTTAACTCAAGAAAAGACTAGAGAAGATTAGTGCTGAGAAGTCTGGAGCAGTGTTGGAAGTTCCCTAAAACACTGGTGAAATTGGACCAAATTTTTCATTTGAACTATTTACAGTAAGAAGAGCCCCTCATGAAACTCAACTAATTGTATCTTATTTTCAGCCTCATCAGAGGCTGCAGGCAGCTTTATCACAAGTTTGAACTGCTCTGTAGTTCATTTAGCTATTGCTAGTCTGAAATATACTTTCTACTATAAATTACACTGCGTGACAGAGGAAGGCGTATCCTTTTTTCCATCATGATCCTGATTTTGTCAGTGCTTCTAAGAGCATTTTTTCCTCCATGCTGGAGAGTAGCTTTGATTGTGAAGTATTGTGTTGGACAGCTTGTATAATATTTTTCTACTCAGGATATCTGTCAGTGCCTGTTTTGATTGATATAAGTGTCTGAGTTTCAAACTCATTTCCTTAAACAAACAAACAAAAAAAACCCAACAAACTCCTGTGCAAAGTTCCGTATTCCCTTGTTTGATTCCACTGAGTTTTGTTTCTCCTGATTTATGTAACTGTTATTACTGGCCTTGCAGATTCTTTTACAACTGCAGTTGGCTACACATTAAACGTTTTTGCTTATGCTTGAGCTGCAACTTCTGTTTTACTTGGTATTCTTGAAATCGATTGTAAAGTCTTTTTTAAGAATAAGTGAAAGAATTTCCTATACTGAGATATGCAGTCCATGTTGATGCAAATTTGTGTGCAACCTTATGAATAGCTGAAACTTGTTAAATATATAGGGGATTTTTTTATTCCTGTTTTTCTCTTAGGAGTCTTACTTTTGTAAATCAGGGGAATTCCAGAGGAAACAGTACATCGGTTTTGTGGCTATGTTTTTATTGACTTCAGACAGCATCATAATCTGCATTTTTATCCATCATTTCTCTTGACTGTCCCTCTGTAGTGTTGTGGAAGTTGCACACTATTCTCTAGATTATATATACCTGCAGAAATAGATCTTGCTGTGTGCTCATGAGCAATATTCAAGTTGTACTAGAAAGTATAACGCAGAACAGTTGTATTACAACCTAACAGTCCACCTAGAAATGTGGCACTCTAACACACTTTTTCTGGAACAGCTATATCATGAATATTTTTGCAGAAGTTAGACTATATGCTCGATTATCTCGGATTCTCTAGGTCACTGTTATTCATGTCTGAGAATTCATTACTATTTCACCCTTTCCGAGTTCTGCAAATGACTTAACTTCTTGTATAAGGTATTTTATTTCAAAGAGCCTGATAGTAGACTCTTAAATCTTCGCTTTGTTCATGCACTAATGTTAGTGAACTTTTTAAAAGTCATGCTGTATAGATTGCCGCTTTCATTACTGAAAGAACATTTTAATTTGCAAAGCACCTATTTAAGTTTTATGCTGACACTTAACAGTAATGTATCTTCTATCTAACGGGTCAAATGCGAGTATAATACTTAAATTGTTTCTCCTTACGTTGCTGTAGCAATCATGAACTATGTGGAAGCCATGCCATTGCTCAAAGTACCTCTTCAACATATTTATGACTAATTATTCTATTAAGAAACTGGCTGTACCAGTCATTAAGGGAACTTTAAAGAGAAACCAATAAGGATTCCATAACCATCAAAACTTCTATGCACAGTAAGGCCTTCCCATGTGTTAATCTGGAGAATGCTGCAACCAAGCACCCACAGCAGTAAGAGTGACTAACCTCTGTTCTGTGACATATTATATGAACATGGGGTACATTGAAGAGTAGAAACATGTGAACAAATGCTTATTACGCCTACATTTAACAGGAAGGAATACTGACTCATTTCTCCTTCTGTAGATTAAATCTCCCCTTTATTTGGCAAGGAGTTTTTTAATTCTTACTCTTACCATTCCCACATTTTTATTGTTGACTGAATTGAAATAAACTTGGACAAATCCTGAGATTTCTTGCTGAAAGTGCATGAATGGGAAGAGGAGACTTCTAACATGTATGTGTTAAAAGCTTTAAGCAGCATCTCTAGACAAGCAAATTTTAATGTAGTGCTCTAGTAGAACAATAATCGTCCTTTATTTTATGAGTTGAGAACAAATTTAAAGTAAAAATAATTTCTTCATAACTTCTGTTTGTTTTCTTCTGCTTTAGGTGATGAGGTAAAACATCTCTGCCTTCAGCTGGCTGTGACACAGGCCCAGTCATCTCAAAATGCAGCAATGCTTTTGGGGATGTGGGTGGCACCTCCCCTTGTCTACAGTATCAGTGTATGTATGTCAGAAAATTTGTGGCACCTCAGCACTTCTTTCCTGTAAGATTCCTCAGTGATGATGTTTAGGCTGTCTCACCAGAAAAGGATGACTGGGTTCAGAATTCTGCAGAAATACTGTTTAGCAAATATTTATAGTGAGAGAAGGGCTATTCTGGGGGCTTGAAATTCAAGGCAGACTTAAGATCTGCTACATTGGTTTTACTTAAATTGCTTAAGACCTTTTTCCTCTCTCTCATTTCATGCTATAGCTCTGATAACCTAGAGATGTGAGAAGGCATGGTATGTAGGGAGAAAAAGTATCTTTTACTATACCAGCTGATAGTCTTAGAAAAAAGTCCCACGTATCTGTCCAAAAGCTTGCATGCTTCTTCCAGCAATGTCTCTTGATCTAGTAAAACATTTTACTTCTTACAAACCTTGCATTAATTCTGTAGATAGTCAACAGACTAACCTATATATAATAAAATTTGGGCTTATCCTCACTACAGTGCAGTTCTTCTTACAAAGGTACAACATGGACTCCATGATACAGTGTGTAAAACTCCCTGAATCCCACAGTGCACTTGACTGTGCAGTTCTGTCAGTTTATACAAGTTGAGGATTAGGTTCATGACAATTCTCAGAAAATCCATTGTGGATTTCTGTGACCTTTTCCAGTTCTTCAAGGGGTATTTTTGTCTTGTAATTTTTAATTCATTAGTCTATACAGATATTTAAACACTTCGCAATTTTAAGATACATAATTGGTAAGGTACCAAAAAAAGAAAGATTTTATTTCTGAGCACCAGTTTCTCACTGCAGTGGGGATTTGAGGTCACAAAATGATCTCAGCCATAGAGTATGTAAGCTTTGGATTCCTTCAGGGTCATTATTCATTCTTCCTCACTAGCTAGCAAAATTAATGGTGCTAGGAGTACCATACTTGTGCCCTTGGCTGTCTAGTCAGTCTGTATGCTTCATGTAGAAATGCAGTGGGCACCATATAGGGAAATCACAATTGTCCTGCCAGTGCAGAGACATGGTATCTACAGTTCATTGAAAGAAATTTTGTCAACTTTTAAGGAAAATAGAATATTGACATGTTTGAACTCTTTAATTCAAGCAATTCATCAGAAGAGGGAAGAAGAATTGAGAAGTATTTATGACTTTGAGTGCTTTTTTAAGTGGTGTTTGAGCCACTTCTTTATAATTTCATCTTTTCTGACAATAGTTGAAGGTTGGTGAAGAGCTAGAATCTGAAACTAAGCAAAAGGTTTTGTTTTTCAGATGAAAACCCAGAAATACCTTTTCACGTCCCTGCCCCTGTGGATGAAACATGTTGCAGAAGACAAACTGCAGTCCTTTACAGAAGTGTTTCTGATACAACAATTTGAAGTGAAGAACCGCACAAAAAACCCAGAAATCTGCCAGTGTGTTCTACAGGGGCTTATGCAGGCAATGAAACTTCCAAACGTGGCCCAGTACTGCTGGAGCTTTCTGTGCCAGGCTGTGGAGAAAGTATTTGAGCTTCTACCAAATGAGGTTCAGGTAAGGAATAAGTGTGAGGTGTATCAATACTGTAACTGGATATTTTTACTGATGGGAAGTCCCATCTTTTTGCACTGACCCATCAGATTTGAAACATGAAGTAGATGTAAAATATTTAGCGATAGTAGTTAAGATGCCTGCATAATTTCAATTTAAGTTACTTTTAGATATTCTTTAGAGTATGACTAATTTGTGAAACCAATTTAATGTATACTTTTCCCACATAAATGATTTGGTAATGGAAAAATACAGTATTGGTACTGAAATAAATGTTATTGAAACAGAAGCAGAGAAAAATCAGAAGGTTGTTTTTTTTCCCCGCAGAGGATTCAGCTTCTCAGTGATTTAAAGAAACTAGGTAGCTACAGAAAATATCTCCAAGGAAGGGCACTTCTCCATTAAAAAAACCCAACAAACTCTCTGAAAGTTTTCAGATACCATTATTCCTTAATTATTAAGTACATTGAAGTTCCCAGCAAAGACTTTCTAAAATAGAATAAATAAAACAAGGCTAGAGACTATATTAAATAGTCATCATGATCATAACAAATCATCATCATGATCATAACAAAGTTCTTGGACTCACCAATTTTAATGATGAAGAAACCTGGAAGTATACATCTAAACATGCATTTACTTTTCTATTTCCAGAGAGGGGAACTGGAGGTGTATATCGATGTAGCAAAATGCATCTCAGAAATGGCTGATTCAGAGATTGATCGCATTGTCCAGATCTCTAAGGTAATGATGTTTTACTCCTGGTCTTTTATCACCAAATCATGTGAAACAAGCATGCCTTACCATTTTTCTTGTCACCGGAGTGTTTTAGCTCATTGGGAGCATTGATTTTGATTATTTTATCTGCCATGCAAGTAAGAGTGTTCTGGCTCTAATTTTCAGGCAGCAGAGAAAAGCAAAAGTGATAAGAGCCTGTACCCAAAACTTTCTCAAGGCAACTGAAACACTACTGATTTCACCTGGGAGCTTTGAACTGGAGAGTCTAAGTAACTTGGTCGAGTTCAGGCAGGGCTCTGTTAGCAGAACAGGAATGGTGTTAGATCTTCTGAATCGCAGACCAATGATGCAAACAGCAGACCATAGTCCTCTTTGGTTAACACAACTACCTACTTGAAACGGACTGTAAATGCATCTCAGTGACTAGCTGTGCTTGAGCAGGTGGATCCTTGCTTCTGTTAAAAATGTGAAATACTTTGACTGAACAACCTCTCATTCTTGACTTAATGTCAATATTTGCATTCATACTCAGAATGTTTCCTGGTGCACAAGATGGCTAAGGGTGACAATGGAATAGAAAAGCTTTCGGCTTCTAGGTCACCAGTGGATTCAATTAGCAGTGGAATTCTTAGCAGCTGAAACGCTAAGGAAGTGACATGTGTGGAAGGACTTGATGGTTTCAGATCAGATTGTTATAAACAAACATTCATGACATAAAACCATGTTGTTCTGTTTACTGGCAGATTCACTAGAGAATCAAGCATTTAAATAGGCTAGGGAAGCTGAACTGTCATTTCCTTGTATCTTTGAGTTCTTACTTCCACACTGGAAAACGCCATTTAAGAAAACCTTTTTTGTCACTGCAGTGAATCTGTCTTGCAAGAATACTTGAGTCTCCAAAACTGTCAAGCTGGCCCATTTCAATTTAAAGGGAAAATGTAAAATTTACAGCAGTATGAAAACAGTCAAACTGTACTGATCTGCAGTTTGCTGGACTATTTAGATAGTCCATATTTAGAAGCATGTAAAATTAAAGTAATATTTATAGTCTTCTGTTTAATAATTTGTCTTGCAGAAAAATGAGCCTGCTAGATAATCAAAGAATTTCTTCCCTTTTTTTTTTTTACAAAAGAGGAATGCAGCATCTACTGTTCCCGCAAGAAAGTTATGTTTTAATTTAATGTTTTTTAATTGCATTTGCAGAACAATATAGAGAAGGCCACATTCACGAAAGTATATTTAATTTCTCAAGGCAGACTGCCTCTGATGAACTTCAGTGCTGTGATTGATACTGTGGCAGGATATCACCAGAAAGAAAATATTTTATGGATGCTCTTGCATAGTTTCTATCATGCTCGTATTGTGAGCCATGAAAACACAGGTAAGGTCAGGCTTAAAGAATCAACAACAAAATCAACAGATATTGATGGACCTACACTGATTCTTCCAAAATGATTTTAAGATAGTTTAACCCAAGTGTTTCCAAATTTCTCCATATTAGAAACTACTCAATCTTCATATTTTTTCTGCTCTTCAAATACTTGTATCAAACATTGCTTTTATGTTTTTCTTCAATCCTTTATGTTTCTGTGGATCAGCTGCAAGTAATTTATCTCAGCCAGGTGGTTTGCAGACCAGGGTTTTGACTAGATCCGTGTCTCCAGTCTTTTTAGACTTTCAGTGTAAGGTAGTGTTAGAAATGTTACATAGCACATCAGAGACCAATTATAGTGCAACTCTACTAACCCTCAGATCTAATATCTGACTTACCGGTGTGTGACACAGTAGGTGGGGGCATGTTCCCATGAGACTGGTTGAACCAAGGAGATAGCTTGCTTTTCTGAACTCCTTGCACTGAGTTAACACAGGAAACAAATTGCCCTTCCGCCTCTTCATAACCATACCAGATAGTTATCTGGTGGGTTAATGAGTTGAGCAGGCTCAGTTAAGGGTCTGTTAGAGCACTGGAGCTTATGCAAGAGGCATAGCAGAATCACACAGGAGGATGAAGGAAGAAGAAACAACATCAGAGGGGTGCAAGAATGAGGTCTCTTCATTTTCATGGCAGAAGGATCTTTGGCTGCCTGTGTTCACAGAACAACTTCAAAGCATTATGTTGCTAGATGCCTTAGCTGCCAGCTGTGGCTGAAGAACTTCAAACAGTAGTGAGTTTTGAATGAGTGAGGTGAGGCTTTTTTGGGTAAAAGAGGAGGCAACATGAAAGAGGGCCCATGTAAAGAGTACAAGGAAATGGTAGTGTATGAAGTGACATGGTCTTGAAGGTGAAGATGGTTATTAGTTTGTAGGAGGTAGAATGGATTTTGGACAGCAGAATCTGAATCAGCCCTGGGTTGAGGGCTGATTTTATTTGCATGCCTTGACTATATTTCACTGATCCTCTCTGCACTGTAGGAGGATTTTTGCAGCACTTCCCACATTATTGCCCAATGTACAGTGACATCAGTCCTAGACTGAGATGGATACTGGGGCAAAAACTTCAGGGAGGCTTTAGGATTCTGTAGCGGTCATATATGCAGGCTGGGTTAGTGGGACCTGCAGGCTCGCATTATGTGAAATAATCCTCACTCAGCAGTCCTTTTTCTGTGTGTTCAGTGTGTTGCCTGCATTATAAGCAAAGTTTTTGTACCGTTTAAGTGCCCATATGCCTTCTGTCAGTGGCAACCATGAATCAAATGTGATAGTGGTATTGGTGATCATTGGTTTTCCATAGTCAGTGCTTCATTGCTATAGTGATTCCCTATGCTTGCTTTTTAATGAAAAATGGGGCATTCTAATGTTTTTTGAGAGTCAGTGTTCTTGTTCTTTTAGGAGTGCTGAAAAGAATGGACTGGCTACTAGACCTGATGGGCTACATCAGAAATCTAGCATACAAGTCAACACCTTTACAAAATGTCAATCTTAAAGAGGTACATGCTGTGAGAATAATTTGCAGCTTTCAGGAAAAAAAGGAGGTTTTGATGTATTTCACATTCTTCCTCAGCAATAAGTATTATTCCCCGTGCTTTTATATTTTAGAAGATTGTCATCTTACCTCGATAGAGAAATTATTCTCAATTTTTGTGAATGTATGTGTATTTAAAACTCTTACTTTAAAATAACCGTGACATTTAAATTATGATAGAAGCTAAAGGCAACTAAAGGAAATCATTGCTTCAAATTTACTGTATTTAGAACAATTAAAGGAAAAATTTTAATTCACCAGTAGAACTGTCTAAGCAGGTCAAAACTGTGCAGCTGCTGTTTCTAAGAGGGCTTGGATAGTTTTAGGGAGCTAATATTATTCATTGTTACATCTGTTCAGCTGTTTAAGTCTTCTGGTTGAGGACATAAAATAAGCTGCTGCTTAGATCAGAAAGGCATTTGTTACATTGCTGCAGTATTTCTCAACCATTTGTAGCATCACAAGAGTGACCATCTCTAATTTTCTTCAACACGTAGGTTGCTGTAAAGCAGTTATTTCCCCATTTTAAATGAAATGTGGATCAGCCTTAATCTAAAGGATGATTTTAGAAGAGTCTGGTTTTGCTTTTCTTTGTGCAGACATTTTAGTTTGATTGGAGTTTAGAAAAAGACTTAACGCTGCTTCAAAGCGTAAGAGAATATTAAGAACTTTCTAGTTCTTGCATTTTGAATGTTAGCTGAATTTTCAGATTACTGTTTTGAAGAGCAACCCACCATCTGGATTTTTGGTTTGGGGGGCTTTTTAATTGTGTGGGTTTTTTTCCTCCCCTTCTGTATTACTCATTTAATAAAGTGCATTTTTGCTTTTCCTGTTTAGTGCATAGATTTTCTCCTGTGGCTGTTTGCAGCTTCTGTGGTGGCCTGGGCTGACCATGGTGCACCATTACTGCTTGGCCTCAGTGCTAACTGGTCACCGTGGAAGCACCAAACGATATTACCGGAATTATCTGAGGATCACGTTGGCAAGCACCCCACTGACAAGCTTGCTGTGCAAGAGACTCTCACTCTCCTTCCAAGCAGCATTTCCCTGTTGCTAGCTAAAGAGCCTTGGAAAGAACAAACACAGAAGGTAAAATTGCATGCAGTGGTAAACATTTTCCAGGAGTCAGAAAGCACCCCATTTTTAGTAGTCAGCTCAAGTCTTGGCTAGAGCAGTTATTTCCTCTGTATCTATTGCATCTGATTTGTGATCTTGTTTTTCTTTATTATCAATCAGATATGACTTGTCTCAAAAGATTGAATGTAGTTTCTCAAGTAAAATGTGAGAGTTGCAAAGAACAAAAAACATTCCAGTGTTGGGAGTCAAAATCTTAAGAGGGTACAGCTGGGAGAGGAGAGTTGGCAGCTGCTGGGAGCAAGTCAGTCTTTTAAACACTGAAAGACAGATCTTCTGCAGTTGGACATCACCACAGTGGCAATTTAAGGCCATCAAAGATATCTGTGCAGTTTGTAGTGTGTGTCATTTATTTTCAAGTATAAGTTGAAAATAAGCATGGAAAATTGTGCCTAACTGGGCAAGCCTACTGTAGATTGCTTGTGGTTGAGATATGTGGAAATACTGTTATAAACCTATAGATTAATAGTTAGCTGTTTTGTGCAAACCAGAATCCGTTAAGGACTGGCTCCTGTACACTCCTGTGCTCAGAGTTACTACTGAAGTCAGAATTGAGAATGTGGGAGGAATGCAGGAGTGGGCTGTTAATATGCAAGTGCCTAATTAGGTTTTAGGGAAGAATTTGAGACTATGCCCTGAAAATGATCCTGGTAAGTTTGAAATATCACATTGTCCTCCAGGCACCCTGCACTGCCAGAAAAACAATGAAAAATGAGAGAGGTCAAAAGAGGGACAAAGGCAGTAAGAGTTCTGAAGGATTTGCAGTAAAACATTTGGACAGGAGACTGATAAGAAAGGATCGTATTAATAGGTAAAGGGCATGAACAGGCAAGACAGAGGGGAAACTATTTACTCTGCCTTCTTCGTTACAAGGAATTATTGCTGAGGTAATGAGAAGGAACAAAGGGAGTTTCAGATCCAGCTGTGGGAGAAATTGCACTGACAGTGAGAGGTACTCTGGGGCGTTTGGATAGTTTGGGCAGAAGCTTGATTGGCCACTGATTAGGTAACTGAGTTTAGCAGCAATCAGATGCCTATCAAACTGAAAAGAATTTGTGGTGGTTTGATGCAGAGGCTCTCGATTCAGATTTTCCTTTATATTTCAATCTTTAGTTTATTGACTGGCTGATCAATATGATGGAAAGTCCTAAGGAAGCATTATCAAAATCTTCCATGGACCTGCTGAAAGGTAGGATATTTTTAGTTGGGTCCTTATTTTTCCATAACTATCAGTACAGATAAAAATCCAGTTGTTAAAAGGAGTGAGATGAATCTATATTATTAGCACATGTAGAAGAGATATATTTTGTCTTTAAGGAAACCTTCACAGGTAGGTTAACATACCTGTCTGTAACACCTTCTTACATTTGCTGTCTCATCTGCTGACTCTTACGATGTACCACTGAAGATCCAAAGGACCTAAAAGTACGTCTGGTCCTGCAAGTGTATTTCAGTGGTAGATCTCTCAATTGTTTTTGAAGTTACCCTTAAAAATAAAACACAACATACTATTTGGAAACCCTCCAGTACTAGAAGTCACATAAAAATTTATTCAGGTGCAACTGAAGACTGAACTGTGGGGAAGGGATAGGAGACAGGCAATGACAGCCTAGTGGAGTGGTCTGACAAGAAAGGATAGAAGAATGAGGGTTGCTGAAAACATGTATGAAAAGAAAGATGGGAAGTATGTGACATTTTGAATTACAGGAATGGCCTGTGGCCCTAGCATGCACCCCATTGCTCACCTGGAGATGCAGGATTGTGAGTACAATCTATGCAAGTCACTTTAAGAGGACACCACAAATACCCTCAAGTGAAGTGAGTGTGCTTGTGCTTCTTCCCATTAACACAAGACACCTCCTTTGAATCACCTGATTCGTTGGACCTAAATATGGCTTCTTGAAATCTGGTTATAAGTTCTTTGCATTACTAGGATAATTAGCCTTGTTTTGAGGGTCTGCAATTTTTAGTCGCTCTCTGATAAATTTCAAAATTCCCCTGTTGTGTCTGCTAATCTCCGCCAGACACAATGCTAGGGGTTGTTGGAGAATCTCTGTGCATCACAGGAATCTGATATACACAGTACATTCTCAGTATGCCCTGACTGAGTTGAGTCATTGTTTCCCTTGAGCTTTGCATTGTTTTTTTTGCTTTTAAGTACTAGAACATGAAACTCCCTTCTGGATGACTAGAATGTGACTGGTTTGGTTACTGGATTTTTGCCTAAACACATGATCCTTTCAAATTGAATTGAGGTATCAGTGAATTGCATTTCCAATCAGTGAATCGCACAGTGGACCTAAGACATTGTACTTTGTGCTTCTGTCCTTCCCAGTACCTGCTGTCTCCCCTCTTGCATCACTGCTCATTGAATTCAAACTTTCTGCAGTGTTGGTTGATCTATGTGCTGTGTCAAAGTGATGGTCTAATTAGCAGATGATGTGATGTGATTTCAGTAGGAGACATGCCATAAAGCAGATGAAAGGCCTAGTACAACATCATATTTCAGAGGGCTGTAGAGACTACTGTATCTTATGAACAGCGGAAGTAACATCAGAAACTATCAGGCTAGGAAGTGAAAAAGTCATGAAAAGAGTCAGTAAAAGGAGAACTGAACCTATACCTGTGTTAGTAAAATGACTAGGGAGAATACTCTCACATCCTTTTCAGTCTGGACTGCACAAATTAATGTCACTTGTCCTTGTCTTCACAGTTACACTTCTGGCCTTGAGATCTCTTGCAGAGTTCAAGAAGAAAGCAGTGTGGACTAAAGCTTATGGGTGGTAGCTGCATGCCGTATCTTATCCAATGAAGAAAACTGTTCATACTTGAAAGCATAATATTACTATTCAGGCATCAAGACGACCAATTTCAAAGAGGTTTCCTATCAGAAGGTTTTGGACTTTTTTTCCTGTCCTTTTACCTCCTCCCAAAGACTTATAAGATGAAAAACAGAATTTTGTTTTCCACTGTTGGGGTGTTCTTTTACAAACTACCTAGCATGGTTTGAGCTGCGCTGAATCTAAATGAGAAATACACATTCAGTTGTTTCAATTGAATTGTTTTAGTGACACCTGGGAGCCTCGAAAGCTGGAGTGGAATATTCCTTTAACTCATGGAAGCTTGGTAGGAATGAATAGAAGAAAAAAAAACTTGTAAAATTTGTTTGGATGCAGCCTATTTACTAAAGTATGGTTTAATGTAACAGACTTCTGAATGAGCATTATTTTTTAACTGATAACCCTTTTTTAGTAATAAGACGATGCTCTTGCGCAGTAGTGACAACACATTGAAGGTATGTAGTGCGAGCAGGGTTTCTGAAAGGGGTGGTATGCTTGTCAGTTTTGCAATGGCTTTATCATGGAAGTAAGTCAGTGATCCCCCAGCTCCAGGAGGTTGCCGTTTTCTTTCCACTTACAACTGTTCTTGTCTCCTTTACCCTCCTTTGCACATAAGGAGAGTTTTTCTCTGCCTCCAGGCAAAAGGCACAATACAGCAACTCTTTTCCACCTTTGCCATCTTATATAGATTAGCCCCCACCATTTTCCTTATTTAATACTCTTCTCTTTCTGAAGGAATAGAGAACTCTTCCGCTTTGCAGTGCTGCCAAGGCAGACCTTAAGTGGGATTTTGTATTTAGCAGTCCTCCTCACTACAGTAGACAAAAATTAACTGAATAGAATTGCTTGGGCACTGGTCCCTAATGTCTTCCAAAGCAGTACTAGTGAGAGCATTGTTGATTTTGACCAGCTTGCATGAAATGTTATCGCCCTACATCTAGAAGCCACACCCCATTGCAGGAATTCTCCTAATTTCAGGACTGATAACACTTCCTGGGTGGAAGAAATTCTCCTCCGACTTCTTTATGGGCTTTTCTCACCTAACAAGGTTACTGTGGGATGGCAGTGAGCTTCCCACAGCGATTAGATATTTTTTTCATTGATTAGGTGTGTGGAAGATTAACACAGTACTCGTTTGTTTTTCCGAAATAGTGTATAATAATGGCAATTTCCTGCTCTGTATGCAGCTGTATACTGACAAGATAGTCTAAAGGTGAACGTACAGAAGGACTCACTGAAAACCTTTTGTCATCCAGTCAGTATCTCAGTGCATGACATTTCCATTTGTGTGCACTTCAAAGTAACCTCTAACAAAGACAAATATATCACGTTTTAATGGTGCCATCTCTAGTGTACTGTTTCAAACTAACTTAAACCTTTATTCCTCTGAGTTTGCATATGTATTAACATTTTAATTCAGATTAAAAGTATGCCTTTTTTTAAAGGGAATCTCTGGATAATGCCCACCTGCTATGTTTTAGTTTGCACAGTGGAGCAGTATATAAACAGCTGAATTAAACTTATACTGATATACAGCAGAAAAGGTAAGCCAAAGGGATGGCATAGCACTGCCTGAGGGTGGCAATCCTAATGCAGCTCCAGGGAGCACTGAGGGTTTAGGAGCATATCTGAAATGCTTGTACCCCAACACACACAGTATGAGAAACAAACAGTATGAACTGGAAGCGCTGGTCAGTTCCCAGAGCTATGATGTCATTGGTATTAGTGAGACTTGGTGGAATGAGTCCCACGACTGGAGTGCTGGGATGCAGGGCTTTAGGCTGTTCAGGAGGGATAAGCAGGGCAGGCAAGGTGGAGGAGTTGCACTGTATGTAAGGGAGAGGTTTGACTGTACAGCTCTTACAGTTAGGGATTATGTGGTTGAGAGCCTCTGGGTGAGGATTAGGGAGACAGAAAACAAAGCAGATGTTGTTGTGGGTGTCTACTATTGTTCACTCTGCCAGGATGATAGCACCGATGACTTATTCTACAGGCAATTAGGAGAAATCTCTGGATTGGTAGCCCTTGTCCTTATGGGAGATTTCAACTTCCCAGACATCAACTAGAAATACCAGACCACTGTGACAAGCAAGTCTGGGAAATTCCAGAATTATGTTGAAGATAATTTCTTGTCACAAGTACTCAGTGAACCAACTAGGTTGGTCCCTAGACTACTTGTTTGTGAATAGAGAACTACTGTGGGAGATGTGATGGTAGGTGGCTGTCTTGGCCACAGTGATCATTAAATGGTTAAGCTTAAATTTTTTGGTGTAAAAAAAGGTCAGCAGAGTTGCTACCCTGGATTTCAAGAAAGCAAACTTTAAGCTACTCAGGGAGCTAGTTAGCAGTGTCCCCTGGGAATCTGCTTTTGAGGGCTTAGGGATCCATGAGAGTTGGTTAGTTTTTAAGAGCCACCTTTTAGAAGCACAGGAGCAAGCAATCCCATTGTGCTGAAAGTCAAGCAAGCAGGGCAGAAGACCACCTTTGCTGAACAGGGAACTCCTCTTGGAACTCAGGCAGAAAAGAAATTGTATGATATCTGGAAGCGAAGTCAGGCTTTGCAGGAAGATTACAGAGCATGTGGAGGGAGAAAAACACGAAAGGTCAAAGGTCAACTAGAGTTGAAACTGGCCAGTATTGGGTCAGATAACAAAAAAATCTTTTTTGAATATGTTAAGAGCAAGAGGAGATCTAAGGAAAATATTGGACCAATACTTACTGAAGATAGTCACCTGACAAATAGGAATGAAGAAAAGGCAGACACATTTAATGCTTTTTTTTTTTTTTTGCCTCAGTCTTTAATACTGATAGACCTTGGGCTGCCCAGTCTTCTGAGTTGGAGGATATGTGGGAGCAGTGACTTACCATTTGAGGACCCTGAAATTGTAAATGACCAGTTGTATCAGTTCAGTGTTCATAAGTCCATGGGGCCTGGTGGGAGGAGGTAGCAGATGTTACACAAAGACCCCTCTCAATCACCTACCAAAGGTCTTGGGAGTCTGGGCAGGTCCCTGCTGACTGGAAGCTAGCCAATGTTATTCCAATTTACCAGAAGGGCACGAGGGAAGACCCAGGGAACTACAGACCTGTTAGTCTAACCTCATTACCTGGGAAAAATTGTGGAGAAGATCCTACTGGGCTACTGAAAGGCATTTCAAGGACAATGCAATCATCAGGCACAGTCAACATGGGTTCACAAAGGGAAAATCCTGTCTAACTTATCTGATACACTTCTATGACAATATCACCTGCCTAGTGGGTGAAGGGAAGGTGGTGGATGCAGCTTTTCTGGATTTTAGTAAGGCTTCTGATACTGTCCCTCACAGCATCCTTCTGGACAAGTTGTCCAACTGTGGGACGAGCAGGTTCATGGTGCACTGGGTGAAGAACTGGCTGGACAGCAGGGCTCAAAAGGATATAGTGAATGGGGCTACATCTGGCTGGCAATGAGTCACCAGTGGTGTTCCTCAGGGCTCAATTCTAGGGCCAGTTCTGTTCAATATATTTATCAATGATCTGGAGGCAGGAGTTGGATGCACCATTAGTAAGTTCAATGATACTAAACTGAGAGGTGCTGCTGACTCTCTGGAGAGACAAGACGCCTTGCAGAAGGATCTGCATAGATTGGAGCATTGGGCAATCATTAATGGCATGAAATTTAACAAGAACACATGTGGGATTCTGCACCTGGGATGGAGTAACTCTGGACACAAGTATAAACTGGGAGAGGAGTGGCTGAAGAGCAGCCCTGCAGAAAGGGATCTGGGCGTGCTGGTTGACAGCAGGTTCAATGTGAGTCAGCAGTGTGCCCTGGCAGCCAAGAGGGCAACCCACACCCTGGGGTGCATCAAACACACTAATCAAAAGAGGTGAATATCCTGCTGTATTCAGAGTTGTGTGGCCTTGCCTGGAGAACTGTGTGCAGCTCTGGGCCTCACAATTTAAGAAGGATGTGAAGGTCCTTGAATGCCTCCAGAGGAGGGCAACAAGGCTGGTGGAAGGGCCAGAAGGCATGTCCTACGAGGAGCACCTGAGGACTGTGGGTTTGTCTAGTTTAGAGAAAAGGAGGCTGAGAGTCAACCTCATTGCTCTCGACAGCTTCCTGGGGAGGGGAAGTGGAGAGGGAGGTGCTGATCTCTTCTCCCTGGGATCCAGCGACAGGATGCGTGGGAATGGCTCAAAGCTGCGCCAGGGGAGGTTTAGACCGGACATTAGGAAATATTTCTTTGAGGGTGGTCAAACACTGGAACAGGCTTCCTAGAGAGGTGGTCGAAGCCCCATGCCTGTCAGTGTTTAAGAGGCATTTGGACAATGCCCTCAATAATATGCTTTAACTTTTGGCCAGCCATGGAGTGGTCAGGCAGTCGGACTAGATGATCGTTGTAGGTCCCTTCCAACTGGAACTATTCTATTCTAAATACTCCAGTGTACTCTACAGCTCTGTGTGTTCAGCCCACAGGACTAAACTAGAGCTGGTTTGAAGTAAAACCCTCTGAAAGGCAGATAAGTTCGCTGTTGGGTCCTCATTGTGAATCCTTTCACTCTATAGTTCCATTCCTATTGGGCTGCTGTACCTGCAAGTATACACATAGCCTATGATGGAGAGACTATTCCTCCTGTTGTGTGCTAGTGCTGGAGGAATGAATATGATTTTTATTTCTAGGTGTTCTCTTTCAAAATAGTATGTTACTCTGGAGACAATGACTTTCAAGGACTGAGGTGGGCAAGCTAGTTGCTACTGCATTTTAGATGTGTGAGAAGGCAGCAAAGGAAGCTGGTGGTGAAGATATTGGTAGGACAAGTTCTTGTGATTCCAGCATAGCTGTTCTGTGGGCAAACAGAAGGGATAATTTTTTTGTTCTATCTTTAGCATTTAGGCATAATTTCTTTTCCACACTGTATGTGTTTCATATGCGTATTTATGAATTCAATCTCACAGTACATAAGCTGTACTAAAACTAGTATTTTTTTAAATGTCAGACAAATGTAGTAGTCAGATACCCTTCTGTTCCTAAAGAGATTGTTTAACCACTTTCAATTATATATCACTTCCCTAGTGGTATTTCTTCACCCTTGTCTATTCAGTACATTATTTTGCCTGTATTTACGTAGATATGAAAGAACAATGCTTATTTTGATTCCAACATCAGATGTCTAAATGGAGATACAGGTGAGCTGGGATCTCAAGACTGATACAAGTTTTGAACAAAGATTTAAGTTCCCAGAGACGGAAAGACTCGGGCAACTTTTTAAGCACCTTTTTGCCTGCCCAATCCTGAGCGTTTCCAGAAAATAACATAAGGCATTTGAGCTGAAGTTACAGTGGCCTGCTGTGGTTACACGTGGAAGGCTGATTCCCTGGATCTCCCAATTGCCTGCCCCAGGTTACCTCTGCACCAGAAAGAGGTGGGGAAGTCTTCTGTCATTAACTTGATGCCTTTTTCCTGCAGTTTAGGTTTGGGGATCCTCCCCATAGTTAATTCTAAGAATCCTTCTCCTATTCCAGTCTTTGAGCCAGCTGTAAGAATCAATGCAAAGGGAGAGCATCACATCCTGATTTTTTTAAATGTAAAACAATAAACATGGCTTAATATGAATATCTGTGGTAGGTTTGACCTTGGCTAGCTGCCAGATGCCCATTCAGCTGCTCCTCTCACTCCACCTCCTCAACAGGACAGGGAGAAAATAGGATGAGAAAGCTCGTGCGTCAAGATAAAGACAGGGAGATCATTTACCATTTACTGTCACAAAAACAGACTTGACTTGGAGAAGAGTAATTTATTGCTAATTAAAAATAGTGTAGGATGGTAAGAAACAAAGACAAAACTAAAAACACCTTCTCCCTACCCCTCCGTTCTTCCTAGGCTCAACTTCACTTCTTCATTCCTGACTCTTCTACCTCCTCCCTCCCCAAGTGGTGCAGGGTGGGTAGGGAATGGTGGGTGCAGTGAGTTCATAAAGCTTCATCTCTGCTGCTTGTTCCTCTTCACACTGTTCCCCTGCTCCAGCAGGGGGTCCCTCCCATGGGCTACAGTGCTTCATGGACTGCTCCAACGTGGTTCCTTCTCACAGGCTGCAGCTCTTCAAGAACTGCTCTAGCATGGGTCCTTTCCATGGGGTACAGTCCATCTGGAAAAGGCTGCTCCAGTGTGGGTCCCTCACAGGCCACAGTTCCTGCCAGGAACTTGCCCCTGTGTGGGCTCTCCGTGGGCTGCAGCTTCCTTCAGGGCATATCTACCTGCTGCAGCGTGGGGTCCTCCACAAGCTGCAGTGTGGATATCTTGTCTGGCGTGGTCCTCCATGGGCTGCAGAGGGACAACCTGCTCCCCCATGGTCTTCTCCATGGGCCGCAGCGTAATCTGCTGCAGTGCCTGGAGCACCTCCTCGTCTCCCTCCCCACTGACCTTGGTGTCTGCAGAGCTGTTTCTCTCACATTTTTCTTATTCTTCTCTCTCACAGCTGCTGCATTTTTTACCTTTTCTTAAATATGTTTTCACAGAGGCACCATCAGCTTTGCTGTTTGGCTCAGCAGTGTCCCACAGTGGCTCTGTTTCGGAGCTGGCTGGAACCAGCTGTGTCTGGCATCAGTGAAGCCACTGGCTGCTTCTCACGGAGGCCTTCCCTGCAGCTTCCCCACTGCCAAAGCCTTGCCATGTAGACCCAATACAATATCATATGTCATGTTTCCTCCTGCAGGGTGTGTTAACTCCAGGCGGTTTGATGACAAACACATTAGATTGAATTTCCAAGGAGAAAAATGTCCATGTTTCACCTTCAGTGTGTTATATAGTGGTTCGATGTGAAGTGTTCTTATTCTGGCTCTCTTCTTCAAAGCTGTCACCCTATTCAGCTGCTCTGTACATTTCTTCACATTGTCCACACTTGAATCAGTTTGGGTCAGAACAGAAGTCCAAAGTGGAAGTACTTCTGTTTCTCTAATAAGTTCCAAATTCCTACCTCTGTTTGCAGCGCTTTCACAAAAAAAAAAAAATCCAGGGTTGACCCTATACTATTTGCACGCATGACCTTGTTGCTTATGGTTTGCAAATACTCCAGTGGTCACAATAGTCTGCAGGTATTGTCTGCCACATATATTAAATAAATAAAAATGATAGTAGGTGACCTTTCGTAACAAATCAGTTCGAGTTTGTGAGCTTCACTCTTTTCTTACATACTCTCTTAGGCTGCATGGTTTAGAAAGTCGTAGAGGCAAAAACCTCTTCATATTCTGATAGTATTCATTTTCCCGTTAAATACATCTTCCCTCCAACTATTATCTTTCCTCCCTCCCCTCAGTTTTCAGTCAAGATCAAAAAAATAGCCTTACTTTTCTCCCCCACCTGCTTGAATTCAAAGGTAAGTGATAATCAATATGGATGAAAATCAGAAAAGCCCCTGCCAAACTCTAAGCAGTTATTTGTCCATTTTTGCCTGTACAGTCCACTGGGTTGCTGTCCGTATTCTTCATTCCCAACCTTTGAAGAGACTATGTTCTAGTCGCATTCTCACAGATAGTCCTACAGAAGTGTGAGGAGCAATGCACTTGAGTAAAATGGCTAGAATTTTGCACATGGCTTTTGATAGTCATTCACTTCCCTTTAAAGAACAACATATATTTGGCCTGGCTACATCACACTTCTGTCTGCTGTTCAGCATGGAAGAAAATCATTGTGGGGAAAGAAATTCTTAATGGCTGCCAGACACATGACTATAAGTTTCTACTTCTGACCCTTAAATATCCCCTTGAATATATAATAGATGAGTACCTGATCACTTGCCTTTGTGGTGTAGCTGCATTTTCTGCAATGTTGTTTGGAGAGGTGAAGGTTGGGCCAGAATGTTAGGGATCCTTTGTGAATGCCTGGAGCTAATCAGCATGTGAATCTCATAGGTTGCAAAGTTTCCAGCTTCTGCTTCTTGAGAGATTCCAGTTCTAGCCAACTTAGCATATACGAGGCACATACATGTTGGCCCAATATAAAATAATCTTACAGATTAAATGGTATTGCCACTACAGAATATCTGTTGCTAATGAGGCAAGAACTAACACCAAAATAAGGGTTGTTAGTGTGATTGTGACTGGAGTTCTCCAATATGTGTTAGGGAAAAAATATTCATTTTTAAAACTCTTGCCATTTGAAGGAGTAAAACTTTCAAAAGTAACTAGTTATTTTGAGCAGCTCCATTTTTGAGGTGCATTAGAGACACGCTTTTTCTGAAAATTCTACACAGCCAGATAATATACATGCAAACAGGAATTTTGCATTGAAAATCTTTGTCTAATTTCTTTTTAACCTATGATACGCAGCAGCCCACTGGGAATATATTTCTTATTTCCAAACAAAGTATCAACTTAGCTTCTTTTCTTTTTGATGTTGCCTGTCCCTAGGTGTGCCTTCCTTTCAGAGAAGAGGTTCTGGATGATAAAGCACATACCTGAATCAAAACACAAAATGGTGTTAAGAACAAGGGAGTAGAGTCCAAAGTGTCTTAATTTAGAAGGAACAGTATGAGCCTTCATCTGGCAACTTTGCACAGTTCCTTCCATGAACTTAGGAACAGAACAGTGCATCACAAAGATGAGATCCTTCAAATTAGTGTTAAAGCCCATGACAGAACGAAGACTTGGCTGTAATGCAGCCAAATTCAGTTCAAATTTTTCAAAACTGTTTTGTTGAGACGAAGAGATCTATTTACATGTAGGTTTTGGGGTGGGCTCTTTTTTCATCCCTTTGATAATCAAGCTGTAAAAGTCTCAATTTAGATAACAACTTCTCATATCAGCTAGGAAAAATGAGTGAGGAGGAGTTGCACAGAATTGAGAGTATGATCAAATGGGAACTGATTTTTAAGAAGAAAGGCAAACTTTGGTAAGTAGCTGTAAGGCCAGGATCACTGAAGCAGTTTTTATATTTTTGTTTTGTATTTTTATGCCTCACACACACAGTGTTTCTTCCAAATTCAATTATTTGTATTGAAAGACATCGGAAATCAGAACAGCTGGTGATGAGTTTTCCTGCAGTGGTTTGCAGGAGATGTGGCAGAGAGAGTTAGAGTTTGTGAAAGGAGCTATACTGATTCAATTTTTTTTGTTGCCATAGGCATCCCAGTTGTGTTGAGACCCAGCTTTCTGGAAGATGAGATACTTACCTATAAACAGCACTAGCAGATAAATTTTCAGAATGTAGGGGAAGTAGATTGAGAAGGCGAATGGAAATGGTAGCTTGATGGAGTATGTGCCAAGGGATTCAAAATAAGGCAGCGATACCCAAATTGCAAATGCTGTAAAATAACATGGTAAATCTTTAGTCAAAAGGAGGTGGAAGATCATCAAAAAACTTCATGTAAAAGTCAGTTACCTTTAAGGCCCAGATAGCTATATTATATGCTGAATTTACCATGTCATCCGTATGCATATGCACATGTTGTTTCTTCCTCGAGTTCAGTTTTGTAGGTCTGAGGTGCTAATTGCTCTTAATACTAGAGTTAGCAAGTATTTCCTATTCAGTAACAAGTTCTGTCACTCCTGTAGTTGCACTGCTTTCAATATGATCTCGGTGGGCACATTTCCTGGTCTAAGTATGATAAGCTGCTAGTTATGGCCTGAGCCAGTAAGGTCAGCCTCAGTGGGGGAGAAGGCAGCTTTGGGACTTGCTGTCTAATGTGGTCAGTCTGGAATGGGGGAATCGGTGTGTCTTTTATGGGGGTATTTTCCTGCTTTACCCAGAAAAATGAACATTTTCCCATACTGTTAAAACAAAACAAAAGCAAAAAAAAACAGACACACAAACCCCAGAGAACCCCTATTAAGGAAGAAAGTACAGAAAAGAGAAAGATAGGTGACATACGGTTAATATGAGCGTACATAAACATTTACGACTACTTTGGCAACACAAAAAGAAATATCTTAAACACAAAAGACGATTGAACTGATCAAGTCTTATTGAAGAAGACTAAGGAAGCAAGTCGTTGGTACTTTTCCCATCTCCTTACCTTTAGCCAGAACTGAAAGGGGATAGAGTGGGATGCACAGTGAGAAGTTGAGCCATGTCAGTGGTAGGTAGTATATTCCCGTCCTTGCTAACATGTTGTAAGTGTACCTGCAGCAAGAGAGCAGACGAGCTCAGAGAGAATGATCATGCTAATCCCTCTCTATACACCTTCTTGGGCTGTTTATGGTATAAGTAGGAAAGATCAGCTATAGAAAACCTTGCAGAATTTGTTTTTAGCATATCATTGGCCATAATGCACAGGATATTTATGTCCCTGAAGAACTTGTAATACTTCAAGACTAGTTGGCTAAGGGATGGGATAGATTCCTGTACACTTTTAGACACAACTGCTTCTTTGAGATGCTAGGACATGGCACAGATGCTGTAAAATAAATCAGGTAAGAATTCTAAATCTGTATGAGTTGTACTATGAGTTATTTGAATTGGTCATTTGCTGCTATAGACCACAGTATCTTCCTTATTTAACGGCTGCTGTTATTGCTATGATGCTATGATGCTGGACTGTGTTTTTTAGCAATGATAGAAAGTCACCATGCGTTGATAGGACTATTACGCAGTGTCAAGACTTCACAGCCAATATTGTTTACACTTTTGGCCTCTCTCCAGCTGCACAGAACCCTTTCATTTGAGAATAGGTTCTACTATAGTAGCTTTACAAACTTCAAAAAGAAATGGGATGGAGCAATAATCCAAGTAATTAATACCAGTAGTAGTTTGTTAACACATGTAGTACAAATACTCTGAAGCTGACTTAAAATCTTTCTTATCAATCCTACCTGACACTTTCCTTTTTTAGATCTCTCTTATAACATACATTTCCTTTGCTGCCTAAATCTGTATTCCCCAGTCAGTCCCCAAAGCAATGTATTTAAAATAGCAGAAAGAAAAAGGATAAAGAAAAAAATTTTGCTCCCATACAGAGGTTGCTGTGAGGGCTATGTCTTGTTAAAATGCTTCTTAATTCTGTATGTCCTCCCTGCTGTAAGTCTACAAACTGAGGTCCATAGAGGTTTAAGTTACATTTGAGAAATGTTACTGGCTTCAAATATTGATGCAAAAGTCAGTAATGTGGAATTTTCACCATTCACCGTTTTACTACAGGGAGGTACTGGTAACCTTCCACCATACAAAATTTTTGAAATAAAAGTCCTGAATTGTATTCCTATCCATTTTGCCTGATATGCGTTGTCCCTGAGGTGTGATACATGCCCTACTATACCAAAATTCTCATCTCTGCAGCAGGAGCTCTTGGCTTTTGGAAAGTACAGTGCTATTAACCCAGAATAGTCATTCTGTCTTAGTAAGAAGTTCTGCTGGCGCTGCCTTACTGTGCTGTCAATCTTGGATTGAAGTGAGATGTTAAAAAAAAAAAAAAAAAAAAAAAAAAAAAAAAAAAAAAAAAAAAGCAATAGGATTGTAAATCACAATAGGATTGTAAATCAGTTTCAGAATTGCTGTTCCCCGGAAGGTAGTTGTTATTTTTCTTCTACATTTTTGTTAAAAAGGTCAAATCCTTTGAACTACAAATGTTAATGCAACGATTTACTTCTGTAAGTCACTCTGCCTCTCAACTGTGGATTTTTGTAAAAATCGGTAAGTAGCTTACAAGGTCCAAGCTGTTATTTAAAATGGATAATATGCTTTGCTACCAATTTCGAAGTAATGAAATGAGCCTGCAGCACAGGGGGGGTGGGTTTCTGCTTGCAAGAATGATGCATTTTCCCCTCATGGTTTCACCGTTGACTCCTTACCTGACCACATCTAATAAATTCCAAAGGAAAAATAAAACACACACGGCATATTTCCCTTGAACTTCTTCCTGACTGTTGATCACGACAAATAAAACAATTATTCTCTCAGTGATCTGAAAAGAAAAAAGAATTGTGAATTCAGGTAGCACCTTCAATAGCTCTCATTTCTGTGTCATTTTGGCAAAATAGGAGGCTACAGGTGGATCTAGTTTGCTTTACACAAATGCTCCAGTGGAAGTTTTGCTTCCTGGCCTGCTTTTGTTCAAGACCCCATTGGCCTCCAGCTTGGGTAACTGGAAACTCTTGGCTGCAGCATCATAGATCTGCTATGGTAAGGGTGGAGGTTTGCTTGCCAGCGCGGATGACTTGGGTTTGTAGCCCAGGAAACCTGTGGATGAGCCGGCTGAGGTTGTGGGAGCAAGGACTTCTCCCACTGTGCCCCAGTGCCTGGAGGGCCAGCAGGGGTAAGCTTCCTTGCTTGTAGGCTGCACGGGAGGCCGTGGGATACAGAGGGCCCTTGGGTGGGTAGTATGCCAGACAGTGCTAATCTCACAGTCCAGCTCTGCTTTCCGTAGCTTGGAGATCTGCATCCCAAGGGATCTCTCTCATAAGGTTTGCAGAAAGGAGGAGGAAAAGTAGAATTCCTGATTTTTCTTTCCTTCTTATTCTTGGCTAGGAGAAGTGGGTTTAAGCTTGTCATTTATGTAAATTATTGCCATAATATTTGTCATAACATTTTTCTAGTGGTTGAACCTTACCCGATCCACAAGGTATGCCTTTACAAATGAAAAGATATAAAGGTGGATTAAACAGGCAGTGGCTCCAGCTTAAAAAAATACTTTGGCAATATTAAAGTTCAAGAAATTTATAAACAAGCGTGTCTTTTCGCAGCTTTCTCGGACAAGTTTCCTGTCAGTATCCATGCCCTGCCCTGTAAAATAAATGTATCCGTAGTATTCAGTACTGCCAGTTGCTTGTGAAACTCCCAGAATGTTACCGGTTCACTTGGATTTACACTTTATTTGAAAGTGTTGAAGGAGAAAACGTGCATCTATTCAGTTGGTACAAAACAGTATAGCTTCACTGGCTTTTTTTTATACCTACTGCCATCTCTTCCATACGGTACCTTAGGTTTAATGATTTTATGGGTTAAGACGTCAAGTCAGTGAAAAGTCATGAAATGAAAACAGATTAGCAAGGTGGTTTTTAGAAGCACAGTCATTATTCTTCACTGGTTTTCCCCCTTCCCCTTACTCCTACCTTAAACGATATAAGAAATTTGCCTCTCAGCAAGTTTGTGTGGTAGTTTTGCTACGTAATGTTTGCTGGTTCCTGCGTGGAACATTTTGGCTACAGACTTTTTTTTACAGACCACATCTGTCAGATAAAACAGCCATCACTTCACTATTCAGCAAAATTACGTGAGAGCAATTTTTCATACAGAAAGAGAGCATATCCATCCCCTAGGGATCTGGTTCCTCATCTTGAAAAGCACTGAGGGGCCACAAAGATAAAAATGGTTTTGCTGCCTCTTACCCTGCCCTGCCTGTCATCTTGTGCCGCTGATCCCATTGGTCCCTAACTGAGGAATTGATTTCTAAGAAGGTCAGATGTTGACAGACTTCTCTATAGCCTGGCCAGGAAACAGAGAGTGAGAAGTACTAAGTCCTGTGTTTGTACGCTGGTGCTGAGGAACCTGGCAAGAAAATGGGGAGAATGGGAAGTATTGATGCAGGATCTGAAACCAGATACAACAGAGATAGAAGCATGGTGGGACAACCATCACAAGAGGGAAATCAAAACAAAGGTAAAAGCAGTGTGAGCATTGAACGGGATTGTGTGCTAGAGAGAATGAATAAAATAGAACCCGAGTTAAAATTTTGCTGAAGGGAGTGCAACGTTGGTGGTGTGGGCTTTTTGTTACCACCCCTAAAATCAGACTGGGATGTGGAGAGAGAAAGTTCTGCAATATTGTTAATATGAGAGCTATTTCGGGGAATTGCCACAGGGATTTGTCTCACCTAGAGACCAAAGCTTTATCATGATAATGAAAAGGTGGACATCTTTTTAGACGTGAGAGCTGGCAGATTTTCCAAACAGTCACTTGCTCTTCAAGCGGTGGCTGGGTGGAAAAGTGCTAGAAAACAGCATTGGTCAAGTGATCAGGAGCTGATCACTTTTATCTCAGTGAGATAAAAGGATAAGCAGTAGACAGGTAGTTGCCATCCCCCGTTTCAAAAGCACAGGCCAATGAGACAGAGTGACTACAGAGACCCACAATTCAGCCTCATGGTCTGGGAGTGGAAGAGGCTGTGGATTTCTTTCTCTCCCCAGGGCACAAGCAGATGCACAAGAGGCAGTGAATATCACCTAGCTGAGGTGATAAATCAGCAGATTTCCTCCGTCAGAGGATTCATGTTTGGGAAGGGGAGCAGTGGAGGCACTCAGCCTCACTAGTTGCAGATGATGGAAGTCAGTAATCGGACTGTGTAAAGTAGGTTAAGCTCCTGCAAGAGAACTGGACCTGGCACAAAGCAGGTCCCCTGTAGGTCTTCTGTTCCTGTTAGACTGCAGTCTCAGCCAGCAAACAATGGGATGCACAAAGCAGCCATCAGAGGCCGAAACTGAAAACTGCCTGTGGCCTTGCTCTGGAGCACATCTGCGGGGCAGGACGCAGGCCTGGCTGCTCAGGGCAATTGTGATTTCCTCATGAGGATAGACAGTGGCATCCTACCTCTCTTCTGTGTAAGTCGGGAGGTTGCCTGCCTGCTTGCCTTTATTCCCCTTCAAGACATTGTGCTCTTTTCTTTCATAGCACTCATATCTTTAGGTAACCCACACAAATCGAAGGTAGATGCAGGGGTTAGTCAGAGGCTGAGGACCTTTTCAGCAAGTGACAAGGCAGGGTGCTACTTGAAGAAGAGGATATTCCAGTAAATGTCTGTTGATATTGTGCCCCTATACACCCACATCTGTATACTTATATACATGGAATCATGTACATATATAAATATACACATATATATGTATATGTGTGTGTACACATACATATATACACATATCTAAAAAAAGTATGTGCTGCTGCTGAACAATGTCTCACTTCTTCTATGGATCATCTGTCCTTGCACGAATGGAAATATGGTATTCTCTGTTGCTATTCTCTTGCTTAAAAAAAAAAAGCAAAACTAGAAGTCCTATATTTTCATGTTCATAAAAAGGAAGTATGTGCTGGCACCTCACAAAGCATAAATGCAATGGTTTCATTTTTCATTCCTCCTTGTTTTTTGTGTTAAAATCAAACTGGAATTTCCTTCCTCTCCCAGCACTGGTCTTTCACAGGACACAGTAAGTTCTGTAGAATGGCATAAATCTCCGCAAGGCAGCCTGGGCATTTGAAGCAAGTAAGTGAAACAGCTAATTAGACTAGCTGAGGTTAAGGCAGGAGCAGGCAGCACATTCACTTCCATTTTTTAATAACCGTGACTGCAGTATTGTAGTTGGTACCTGAAACCCTTATATAGCTCTTTGATTTAGTGAATGTTTAAAAAAAAAAAGAAAAGTGCTACTAAATATTTAGATTAAGTTAAAAATTAATGTTTTTATTACAAAGCCATAGTACATTGCTTTTGGTCTGGTAAATACAATCCTGTTTGCACAGGATGAAGAACTGGTGTTTTGTTCACAAAAACACCAGTCTTTTCTTACATCTTTCCTATTCTCTCCCTTGCTAAAGTAGCAGTCCCGTCAGCCTTTACTCCCTGGCCAAACTACTAAATTAAATTATCCTCTGTTTTGGCAACTGCAACGACATGTTGACACATTCTCCTGTCCTCCTCTCAATCAGTCAAGCTGCAAATGCCCTGAGAGACATCCCTTTGCACCAACTTTGTGACCCTCCCTTGTCTTCCCTTCCTCCAGAGCATCCATATCACAAGACTCATCTTTCTTTCATGGTGTGACTTGGCCTCGGCCTACCTAACCCTTCTCAGGTGCCTGGCAGCCTAAGACTTTGTCCCTCAATGAGAGGCTTTTCCAGAAAACACCTCCGAGTTTGCTTTTCCACTATCTGTAACGTGTATCTCAAAGTATTCCTTGTAAATGCTACTAAGCCACAATAAATGGGATATTAGGCAGAAATCCTTCGTTCAAACTCTGCTTAAATCTTGTCTCTGCTGTAATGCCTACAAAACAACCAACCACCACAGGGGTGCTTTCACAGCTTGTTTTATTCAAGGTGGCATTACTTTCATGCATGTGCTTCCCTGACATTGCTATAGCTATCTGTTCTCTCATCCTAGAGATCACCTGAGATGAACTTCACCATGGATATGTATGTGTGTGCATGGCCTGAGGGATTCATCTAGGGATATGTGTTAAGCTTGGAGTAAGAACAGGTAGTGGGAACGCAGAACAGGGCAGCCACTATCAAATTCTTGCAGCTTTACCAGTAGTCGCTAGTCCCAGTGCAGTAGTCCAGTAGGCTACAGTAAGGTAAGCATCTCTAACCATCTTTCCCCAGTTCATTGTGGAAAATGTGTATTTTTTTTTTTTCCTAAGAGGCAGGGAGGAAAGTGTGGCAAGGCACATGGGAGTACTGTTGGCACACAACTGCTTAACCTGCACCGTCACAGCAGAAGCAGGGCATCCCAGGAGAAAGCAGAGTCTACACGAAAGAGAATCATAGAATCATAGAATCATTAAGGTTGGAAGAGACCTCCAAGATCATCGAGTCCATCCGTCAACCCAACACCACCATGCCCACTAAACCATGTCCCTAAGCGCCTCATCTACCCGTCTTTTAAATACTTCCAGGGATGGTGACTCAACCACTTCCCTGGGCAGCCTCTTCCAATGTTTAACCACTCTTTCAGTAAAGAAATTTTTCCTCACATCCAATCTAAACCTCCCCTGGCGCAACTTGAGGCCATTTCCTCTCGTCCTTTCGCCAGTTACTTGGGAGAAGAGACCGACACCCACCTCGCTACAACCTCCTTTCAGGTAGTTGTAGAGAGCGATGAGGTCTCCCCTCAGCCTCCTTTTCTCCAGGCTAAACAACCCCAGCTCCCTCAGCCGCTCCTCATAAGACTTGTTCTCCAGACCCCTCACCAGCCTCGTTGCCCTTCTCTGGACACGCTCCAACATCTCAACATCCTTCTTGTAGTGAGGGGCCCAAAACTGAACACAGTATTCGAGGTGTGGCCTCACCAGTGCCGAGTACAGGGGCACGATCACTTCCCTGCTCCTGCTGGCCACACTATTTCTGATACAGGCCAGGATGCCGTTGGCCTTCTTGGCCACCTGGGCACACTGCCGGCTCATGTTCAGCCGGCTGTCGACCAACACCCCCAGGTCCTTTTCCGACAGGCAGCTTTCCAGCCACTCTTCCCCAAGCCTGTAGCGCTGCATGGGGTTGTTGTGGCTGAGGTGCAGGACCCGGCACTTGGCCTTGTTGAATCTCATACAGTTGGCCTCGGCCCATCGATCCAGCCTGTCCAGGTCCCTCTGCAGAGCCTTCCTACCCTCGAGCAGATCAACACTCCTGCCCAACTTGGTGTCATCTGCAAACTGACTGAGGGTGCACTCAATAAGAGGCTGGACAGCATGAGACTACTGCTAACATCAAGGCAAGAGAGTTATGTTTGCAGTGAGAGAACACTTGAGGAAAGAACCAAGTAAGGATCCAAAGCTATCTTTGTTGTGAGGCAAATGTTTGGAGTCATAGGGCCGTATCATTCCCTGACCCACCTTCTGACCCACCTTCTCCATGCTGCCCTGGAAAGCACTGCAGTAATTGCACTGCCCAAGAAAGGTCACAGTTTTCTTGCTCAGAATATCCATTTCATATTTAGTGTCTTTTTGTGGCGACACAAACAGTGTTTGCGCAGCCTTCCGTGATCTCTGCTTCTGTAGGGCTGGGTAGGAAAGGAATGGACTATGTCAGGGCTGGGGAATGTGTAAACTCTGCCAGGACAAGCCTTGCTTTAACGACTATTAGCATTAGTAGGCTGCTCTCCTCTCCAAGCGATGACGTGAGATTTGTTACAGGATGCATTAGACAGGATACTTCCCTTCCCTCCCCCCCCCCCCCCCCCCCACCTTAGCAGCATGGCGTGTTTAGGCAGGGAAAAATAGTTGTTTGCATTTTGACGAATTTGCTACCATACTTAGTGAGCAGCATAAAGAACAGAGATCTGTATTAGTCAATCAATTTCTAACGGAGATTTAAAAAGAGGAACATCTTCACCCATGCAATATGTCATTTGACAAAAATGGGCTATCCAGAAAACTAAAAACATAACTAATTACTCTTAGTCTGCTACCTTCTGACTGCTGAGACCAATACCAGTTTCACCGTTATTCAAATACTAAGGATTGGAAAGGTTTGAAGGTAAACTCAACGTTTTTACTTTTTCCAAAGCATTAAGAAAAATACCAAAACCTGAGATTAACTCCCAACAGAAAACAAGAGTCTGGTAAGGAAAATGTCAGAGAATCATCTTGTTTTCTGCTACAGCGTGTGATCTTTTGGCTGATTTTCTGCCTACAGCTGAACGTATGCCCTGTAAACCTCTTAACAGCGCCAGAACCTCTGGATGTTGCCACAACTTGTCCATGTCTGGGTTTGAGAGGGCAGAGACCCTTACAGCAAGAATATGACAATTCTCCTTTCCCCTCCCAGCATTAATTCTTCTTCAGTCCCTTCAGTTCTTTTTCTTAATCAATTCTTTTCCTTCCACACGCCATGACCACCAGCAAACCCTGTTTCAGGAGGCTTGACGTGCCGGTGGTTTTCTCATTGCCATCCCTTTGCTACAAAATCTTGTCTTGTGCTTGTCTACAAAATAACTATGTACTTGTCAGTGAGGAAATGGTATGGAAAAGAATTCGCTACTGAAACTTAGGCTCTGAAATGTTGTTTTCTGGCTGTAAATAAGTTGGCTGGGGAGGTAGTATCCTCAGCCACCTAAGGTGCCCTAGAAATGGGGGCTGCCCCATTTCTGCAGGTGGCGGCTCCTCTGGACATCTTCCAGGTCCCTGCTGTTGTGGGCTGGGCGTGGGGCACTCACTATTCAGTTTCACTCAAAAAGAAAAAAGTTGAGAGAGCAGCTCTTTCCCAACCCAGTTCTGAGGGCTTAATTCCTGCAGTTAGCAAACGATTAGCAGCTGGGGAAGGGTGCAGGTGGACCATTCAGGGTAATTCAGCCTGGGCTTGTCCCCGGGGGCAGCCATGGCTGAAGTGTGTAGGTGGTGGAAGGAGGGTCTTGAGAAATAGACTTACCTGCAAAAACCTGGGGAAGAGACGGCTTTTATCAATGCCAATGAGGATGTGTAAGATCTCCAATACAGATAACAACTGGCAAAGGCGCATTACAAGTCCTATGGAGTAAAATGTGTCAGCCAACGAGTCTGTACAGACAAAGTGAAGAGGAAAATTAGAGGGTGGTTATACAGTAAAAGTCTGGACCAACTACTGGGTTTGCTCTTGCCCTATCACCACTGGAGATGACAAGAAATAAAGTTCACACAGTACCAAACTTTTGAGTAGCAGAAGCAAAGCTTTGGGGAGGGGAAGAGGCAGTCCACTCTGTGTGGCTCTGACACAGAGGCAGGAAGCTGAGAAAAGAATGGGATCCCCTATACTTGATGCACTGGCAAACACTGTGCAGGACGTGTTGGTTTAGAGATACTGCTTTAGGATATTTCTAAATATGAGGAAATGTTGAGGAAATGTATGAGGAATGTCTAAACATGAGGAGATGTTGAGTTCCTGCCTGTATCTGTACCCACGACACTTCCTAAAACAAGTAGGCCACAAAGTAGGTATTTTATGTGCCTACAACTGTCCACCATTATAAGTAATTCTAAATTTCCAGTCACTAGTTTTCTGTTTTTGTGCCTCATCCCCAGGCAACGAAGAGAGAGATATGTTGTAATGCTTTTGGAGATAGAGAGTCATGTGCAATAACCACAAAGATATTCCCTCCTAGTGGCTTCAATAAGATTAATATTCACCATAATGACTGGGCCTAGTCACGCTTAGGTCTATGTCTAAGTCAAATGTTACTAGCATGCTGCTGAATATTAAAGCTCATTAGCAAAACAAGAGCTTCATTCCTGATGTGATACAGGCAGAACATAGATACCAGTAATTTGTTCATCCTCTTTAATGGCAGAAACAATGTTTTTCTAATTCAAATTACAGCCCCTGCTATTGGACATACACCTATTCAGAATCCTAACTTTATCTCTAATTTGAAGCTTCTGTGTGTCACTGCCTCTTAAAATGTTTAAGGAAAATACAGAAGGAATCCTACCTTTTCCAAATGACATGAACCTGATGATCATATTTGTAAATATCCAGGAATGTCCACAGAATTGCATTAAGTCATACACAAAGAGGTAGGTGTTCATGGTAAAGCTGTGGAGGTGAAAATGGTAAAGCAAACGGTATGATTACTACAACATTCGAGCTTTATGACCTGTAGAAATTGCACCCTCTTTGGACACGTTAGGAAATCAAAGGAAAACAGCTGAAAAGTAAACAGATGTGAAAACTGTCTGTGTCTGTCAGTGGTCACAGAACAGGACTCTCCCCAGTGGATCAAAGGCTCCCTTTGTTCGTATACCTAGGATATGCCCAGAAAAATTTTCTGGGTTTCCACCAGTGATTAGGGTGATCTGTGGCCATACAGTGAAATTTGTGCCTCCAGAGCAAAAAGTAAGTAAACAAAGACACTCCATTGAGTGCTGGATTCAAGCCTGAGCCCCTTGGCTTGGCTCTGCCTTGACGGTGTCACCAGGCTCGAGGGATAGCTGGGGTCGCACCCACCGCAGCCCTGCTGAGGGCCTTAGACTCCTGCAGACACCAGCCTCAGGATTTCTGCATCTGGGTGATGTTTATCCTGTTCTTCCCAGAAGACATGCCTCTAGCATGCTCTCAAGACAGCTTGAAGTACAATGCAAATAATTCGCAGTGTCTCCAGCAGACAGCATAGTTATAAGTATTTATAAAAATGTAGGTGAAAAAATGGAAAAGAAAGCCACATTTCAATCTGCTTTTATTTGATGCAGTCTGAAGGATATCTGTCTTTCCCTTTATTAACCTACTTGCTCTACAGGTGTTCCAGATAAACATTAAATTAGGGTCTTTGTCTTTCTGCACAGCCTGTGTTTCAAGTTGCATTTAATAAAGCGAATCTTCTCCTGTTGGAGCAGACTAACTTTTGTAGCCATTCTAACCTAATTTTCATAGGTAATCTGACTTTTTGCAAAACTTCATAGGCTCTGGAGATAATTTCCCTTTCCCATAAATGTATTATCTTCTGACTTATTCTGGGGAGAGAGGCTTGCTTGTCCTTCAGCTATGAAAAGGACTGTCTACTTTTTTTGGAAATTAATTTGTTAATTTTATACTAGAATTTCTCCTGTGTTTGACCAATTAATTTCCTGCCCCAGTAAGATCTCAAGTTGCCCCTTGATCCAGTGTGTTCATGTGGTATGTCTCTGCTGTCAAACTTTATTTCGCTTGTATCTGTACATTAACAAACAATGAATTTCTGTGTTTAGAAATATCTAAATATGATAAGTGCATATACTTCACTCCCAGCATTGGACCAAGACCATAAATAACAGTACACACTCCTGTAAATTGATGTAGATAAACTGATCTTCGAAATTTTTAATCCAAGTATATCCTAGAGAGGTCATAGAAAATGCCTTTCTTCCTCTCTTCCTGTTACGCAGGATGGCTGCTGTTCATGTCATCACTTCTGTAAGCACAGAAAGATCTGTTGGCATAATTTACCTTCAGTGCCCTTTGATACTATGAAAATAGGACACATGAGGACCCAGAAAAAGGAATGTGTTCCATAAACACTCCTTTTGGGAAAAGTATGATACAACTGAATTGGACTAAAGTCCAGTGAGCTCTATAAAGATTGACCCAAAATCGCATCTGCTTTATTACTGAATGACACTTTGTTCTCTCTTGTGGTACGAACAAAGGATGGGACACTGTACATTACAAAAAGGCAAAAAAATAAGAACATTGTTCTGATTTAAGAAACAGCCTTATTACTGGATGGATAGGAATTACTGTAATGGGTATGAAAGTTACAGGAACAGTTACAAAAATTTTGAGGCTTTCCAGTCAGCACCTCCACCAGTCTCTTTGGTCTGATATTGCCATGTGGGCTTTGCACGGGATGTAAGCTGAGGTTTCTCTCTTCTTCTGAAGTTTAGTTTTCTACATCTGTCTCTCATCCTCAGAACTTGTCTTTCAGTGATTTGGGCCCAAGTGATTTCAGCTTATTTTCTGAACTCCTCCTCCATTGGCTGGCTAGAAAATTGTTGTCTTTACAATTGTTAAGCTGCTTAATCTTGGCTAAACAAGACGTAACCAAGAGGATATCTGCAAATGCAGCTTCACACTAGTGTTTTGGCATTATGGCAGCTGTTGCATGTTAGAACTCATCATCTTTAAAATGTACTGGCAACTACTGAAATGTATATACACTGGTGGCATTTATGGAGGCCCCCATATTCCCAATGAAGTGTAGAGATGTGCTGGCAGGCAGCGTGCCAGTGTTACCTGGGGGACCGATCCCGGCCCCAGAGCTGTGAGCAACACAGCTCTCACATTCGGTGATGCTCTCCACTGTGTGAAGGAACAGCCCGGATCTTAAAATGGGGTTTCATCCTACTGTGTTAATCCCCAGACAAAAGGTACCTAAGACCAAACAGAAGCCTTTGACAGAAGTGAAGAAATCTGCAGAGAATAAAAGGTGATTTCAGTGTAATCAAAGCAAATGGAAATGTAACTGTTCTCTAAGGTCTTTCTCACCCAAAGTCTGATCTCTTTACCTGGAGAACCAGAAGCAGACTGAGGATAACCTGTTTCACTGTCCTAACAGTTCTGTGTCACAACACAAAATTTAGCCATCTGCTTCTCTTGGAAAGGTCACTGGCAGAAGAGACAGGCTTTAATTAAATTTTGTGCTCCCCTCGGTTCACAGCAGGCATCATTCCACGTTTACGTCACAGAGCCTGCTTCTGCAGCACCCTTGTGGATAAAACACTGACTAGCAATCCACCAGGTAGCTGTTCAGTTCCTGACCCTGCCCCAGACTTGCTGGCTGACTCACAAACCTCACTTAGCCTCCCTGGTGCCTGGTTTGTAAAATGGACTTGCTGCTGTGTTTATTCCTTGTAGTGTGATGTGCTTTAATGCTTCCAAGTTGCTTTCATTTGGGGGAGCACTGCACATTTCAGTACTCTGCCTGCATTGATGACAGGAGAAGGAAACAGACATGGGTCTTGCAGTAGAGAGGCCCAGAAGGATTGACTTGCTGTCTGTTTAGTTGTCAGTTCCACGTTACTTACTGTGGCTGATTTTATACCAAATACATTGAAATGCTAGGGATGCATTTATCGTATTTAGGATCAACCTTGCTTAGTGGAAAACTTTTATCTGTTTTCTCTCTGGGCTCAAAACCTAGGAAACTAGATGAAACATAAAACCACTCAGAACTAGCACACACAGCAGCATGGTCCCAAACATCCTCTTTTCCCTTTCATTCACCAGCAGAGATTTTACCAGTGATATAGTTTTAGCTTGCAAAGCCTGGCATATTTCCACAGGCAGAAAAATCACGTAAGTCTAATTGCTGCATTTTATTATTTTTAGCATGATCTTCAGTGTGTCTCTGTGGTAGCTATCATCTGAGGTAAGTACGGAGGTAGGTGCCCTCAGTGTCTGAAGGGTGGTCAGGACCATGTGCCCATTGAGCTAAGGTGACAGCACAGCAGCGGCACCCAGCTCGGGGCAGCCCTTGGCATGGCTGGGTGTCCCTTGCAAGGTGCCAGGATGAAGGCCACACTCAGGTCCCTCTCCCTCTCAGGGGGTCCCACCCAGGCCTGCATGAACTGAGCACTTCCTTGCCTTCAGAGCTATTGCACTCTGCTGCCTTCCCATGCCCATATTGGCTGGCCCCACATGAGGAAGCAACCCCCACGCTAAAACCAGACAGCAATGTTCCTTTTTTTTTTTTTTTTTTTCTGCAGGAAAGGTCTGCTAGAAAAGCCCCTCTGCTGACAGGGTTTCCTTTTAAGTCATATTGGTCTGAACTTCTACCCCTTCCCCCTCCCACCCCTGTGACAAGCTGCAAGCGCTGCAGCTCAGGAAGAAGAAAGCTGCTGAGAACCAGTACAAAAGATGTACTTTTCTCTCACAGGCACATCCCACCCCACTTTTTTTTCCCCTTCCTTTTTGCATTGGAGCAGTCTAGGTCACTTGCGCTCAAGAGATATTACCTGTTGCAGTGGTTGGATTGCTGCTGCTGCTCCTGATCGTCCTCCTTTTTTCTCTCTACAGCTGCAACAGCTGTTTTGTTAGGAGATCACCCCTCCTCTTTCCTTTTCCCCCACCCCATGACATCACCGTATGTAGCACTAAGCAGGAACAACATTGTACTTCCTGAGGAAGGAGTTTCTAACCCCAAATATTTCCACTCCATTTGCCCTGCTCCTCACCCAGCCTAGCCTAGCCTAGTCTAGCCTAGCCTAACCTAACCTAACCTAACCTAAATTAGTTTCTTGCTGTTGTACCAGTAAGCTGGTCTGTAAATCCTACTAACTTTGTCTTTTAACCCAGAGCAATATTTTTAAGGATTGCTGGAGAGAAGAAATGCAAAATTAAAAATTTGTTTTTCTCTTCTGTTTAAATCATCAGCACTACAACAATGCTAACACTATCAAATGATAAGGAAAGCTGGGAGCATACCATAAAAGGAGCACTTTAAACTACTTCGGATAGAGGAAAGAATTTTCCACTCCTTACCTAGGAATGTCTGTTTATTCATGCCCCTGTGAAATATGGGCACTACTGGCAGAGGAAATGTATGTGTGCATCCTAGGTTACTTCTGCCCTTAAGTGTCCAGGATATCTCAGCATAAATCAGATGAAGAAGAATGTCATAACATGTTTATAAACTCCCTTCTGCCAATAAGTAGTTTTTCCCACTGGCACTCATGTTGAAAGCACATCCCATCCAGAGAGATTTGAAATTTGATGTTATGACTGAAGAAGTCACCAAGGACATAATGAGCATAGAATGTCATATATAAGTACATGAAGTCTGGGGAATAAAATGTGCCTTACTGGGTCTCATCCCTACTGTGAGTGGCACTGAGCTCCTGGCAAGACCATCTCCACCCCCTGTGGTGTCCTGGAGAGGTGAGAAATGCCTCCCTGGCAAGTAGGTGATTTCCAGGCAAACACAGTGGGACGCCGTGTTTTTCCTGGTCATGTCTCCCATCTGGGACCTTAGCAGAAGGGTCATACAGTTATGCCTGGCTTTCCTGCTGGTGTGGCAGCTCACTTTTACTGCTCAAGAATCATCATCTTTTTCTAGGCTAAAGAATGTATTTCTTTCTCAGGAGGAAATAATAAATCAGTGTTAAATAAAGGGTTAAACAGTTAAACAAATGACTATTGAAAGGCTCAGCCCATAGCTCTTGGAAAACAGCTCCCACAGGTGCCTCTGGGAGGACAACTGATGTGACTAATGCTGCCAGGAGTTGAGCTCACGACTGTAACAAGATCCAGCAGTAGGAAGAACAGCTCTTTTCAAACACCAGGAAAATACTTAAAAGCAACAAAAGCTCACCTATCTTTGCAATGTGCAAAACCCCTCTTGTGAGCAGCTGCCAAGTTAAAGCTCCCACAGATGACAAGGTGTCCTGGTTTTGGCTGGGACAGAGTTAATTTTCTTCCTAGTAGCTGGTGCAGTGCTGTGTTTTGGGTTTAGGATGAGAATAATGTTGATAACACACCGATGTTTTAGTTGTTGCTAGGTAGTGCTTACACTAGTCAAGGACTTTTCAGCTTCCCATGCTCTACCGACTGAGAAGGCTGGAGGTGCACAAGGAGCTGGGAGGGGGCACAGCCAAACTGGCC